GGGTTTAGGGGGTTTAGGGGGTTTAGGGGGTTTAGAGGGTTTAGAGGCTTTAGAGGGTTTCGAGGGTTTAGAGGTTTTAGAGGGTCTAGAGGGTTTTTTAGGGCTTGTAGGGTTGATAGTCTTCTTGTTTTGTTGTGGGCGCGGGGGGGAAGGGGGGGAGGAGGGGGGGGGGGGGAGGGGGGGGGGGGGGGGGGGAAGGCTTTGTACGGTTGATAGGGTGTATCTGGTTCATGGACCGGGTGATTGGGGTTTAATGGTTCTGTTTTGGACGTTCCCCCTTTTACTAGGGGTTCTTTATAGGGATGATAGTACCCATATAATAATCCCTGTTACTTAAGTCGCATCAAGGGGACCATGGCTAGGTTCTGTTGTAGTGTCCACCGGTAGCTTCGGCTGCAGAATCAGCCCTCCCCACAAGTTTCTCGCCTTCTGGGCTGTAGAACGTCCACTGTTCAAGAGGGAGATCGGGGCCGAGGCTTTCTTCGATTGCTAATATGATTCCCTTATGGTACCTATATAAATAGACCATAAACAACCCCAAAGTTCATATGTTAATTGAGGCCCCTACAGTGGGTGCGGGGCGTATAGGATTAAGCAGCGAAGGGGTTGGGAGCTCGTAGGAGAGGGTTTATAGAGCTGAATATGGTTTCTACGTCTACAAGGCTTTATAGCTTTGTAGACCGGGCTTTGGAGTACTATACCTTAATACTTTTTTTTTTGGTTCTGGGCCCCTAATATAGCTACTTGTACCTAAAAAGTATATTACTTGTGTTCCAGGGTCTACTCCAAAGTAGGGTGTAGTCCTAAACCCTAAGCCCTAAGCCCTATAATAAACCCTGAACCCTGAACCCTGAACCCTAAACCCTAAACCCTAAACCCTAAACCCTAAACCCTAAACCCTAAACCCTAAACCCTAAACCCTAAACCCTAAACCCTAAACCCTAAACCCTAAACCCTCACCCCTAAACCCTAAACCCTAAACCCTAAACCCTAAACCCTAAACCCTAAACCCTAAACCCTAAACCCTAAACCCTAAACCCTAAACCCTAAACCCTAAACCCAAACTACAAGGCTTTATAGGTTCGTATAGGCTTGGTGAGAGACTGGGATGGCCCTGAGCTGTTTCTTGGCCGCTGGGTGCCGCGCTGGAAAGACCTCAGCACGCGGCGGAGCGAGCGAAGAGGCGGGAACCCAATGAGCCGGAAGCCACGGAGCCCCAAGTGCCCCATAAGTACCCATAAGTCGTTTAGGGTTTAGGGTTTAGGGTTTAGGGTTTAGGGTTTAGGGTTTAGGGTTTAGGGTTTAGGGTTTAGGGTTTAGGGTTTAGGGTTTAGGGTTCCAAGGTTACTTGGATCTCAAGAGCAGCCACGCTATGAACCCCAAGCAAGAAATCACAGAAATCTTTTCCTGTAAGCCCGAAAGCCCTGAGTAACCCAAACTAAACCACCATAATCGGGATGTGCTGTAACCATTACGACATCCTTCTTCTTCAGAGTCCTTCGTGGCAACCACAAACCCCAAACCCTAAGCCCAGTAAACCCCGCTATCTTCAGTCCACTCTTCACTTCGCCATGCGCTGGCCGCAGAGTTTCCACCATGCGCAAGACCGATGCGGTGTTCAGGAGTAGCGGAGAGTGACGGTTTAGGGTTGAGGGTTCAGGCTATGTTGTACTGACAGGATTCAGGGCGCCTTATAGGGCCCTAAACCCCAAACCCCGAACCCTAAACAATAAACAATAAACCCTAAACCCTAAACCCTAAACCCAGCTTAGGGGATCAGTTTGGGCGGTCTGAGAGGTCGTAGCCAGATGCTCTTGGAAGATTTAGGGCAGATCCTGGGACTGCTGAGCCCCCTCATGGATCCCAGAACCTAGGAGGTGTAGGGTTTAGGGCTTAGGGTTTAGGGTTTAGGGTTTAGGGCTTAGGGTTTAGGGTTTGGGGTTTAGGATTTAGGGTTTAGGGTTTGAGGCTTCGGGGTGCAATAAAAGATTGGCACACCTTGCCACGAGAGGTCTTTCATGCTGTCGTTCAAGAGCTTTCGAGGCTTCTGCTTCCCAACCTCCTAAGCCTGGACCCTGCACACTTGTTACCTGGGACTCTATTTTCCTACAGTTTATACACAATGTAACATATAGTATGGTAATTTAATATTTGTAAGTATTTAGTAGTAACTGCCCATAATTTAGTAGGGATAACCCATAAAAAAATGTACCCTAAGTTACTAAACCCGACCCCTAGACGTTGAAAGCAAGCCTCGGTGGAAACTGGCCTACACCGCTGATGAGGTCTAGGTAGTGCCTATATGCTTCTTACGCCGCAATGTGGGGTTGATCTAAATCATGGTGCCCACTCTAGCCTCCTTCATGCACAGTACATAGTCCTATTAATCATGTTGTAGGGTGCAATGCCCAAGAAGACGCCTCTTTCACCCTTTAATCGCATTCGTTAAGGGTATCGAAAGGGCCCATCTATTAGCAAAACCCCCCAACTCTTACGACGCTCGTGGAGAGTAGGTGCGAGGCAGACGACATTCGTCTCCTCGCAGGGCGCGGACGCGCGGAAGCCAGTTTGAAAAGGGTTGCGTGCCTCGCCATGAGCCATCGTCAGGACACATTTTCCCTAAACCCTTGTCAACCCTAAACCCTAAACCCTAAACCCTAAAACCCTGAGCCCACAACCCTAAAGCAAGAGCTCTTTCTCGAAGGCTTGAGACGCCAGCTTCAACCGAGCCTGAACCTCCAAACTCAAGACCCCGCACCCTGCACCGCAACCCTGACCTTTAGTACCCTGAGGGCTCCTTACTCCCGAAACCCAGAAAGCCTTGGCGTTCCGAAACCCTACACCTTAAAACCCGCAAAACCCTTCAACGCTAACACTCAGCCCTGAACTAGGTGGTTGGTTGCCCTTTTTTTGGGCAGGCCGCACCGACCAAATGTCATAGCCCTCCACTCTACTCCTTAGGCTCAGCCCAAAAACCCTTGTATAAGGAGGCCTTTGGGCCCACAAACCCCAAAACAAGACCCCTTAGAGCCTTAGGGCACCATTGTTGTCCGAAGCCATTTCGTGGTCCCCAAATGGGGTCAGAGAACATGCCATCTCGATGCTCGATCAGCGCGATTCAAAACCCTGAGCTCTGAACCCTAAAATCCTACTTGGAGGTTCGCGGGTACTTAGAACCCTGACTTTAACTATATACTTGTAGCCTATTTAGAGGACTTAGGGGGCTTGTAAGTACAGTTACAATTGGGGTTACGAGTACGCATGAACCTCCGAGTAGACCCGAAGCCCTAACAGCATATCTTAAACCCTTAACCCTAAGAATCGTAAACCCTTAACCCTAAGAACCCTAAACCCCAAACCCTCAACCCTCAACCCTTAACCCTAAGAACCCTAAACCCCTAAACCCTAAACCCTTAACCCTAAGAACCCAGAACCCTAAACCCTAAACCCGAAACCCTAAACCCTAAACCCTAAGAACCCTAAACCCTAAGAACCCTAAACCCCTAAACCCTAAACCCTAAGAACCCGAAATCCTTAACCCCAGCCCAGCGGGTGAGCCGCAAGCTACGCCGAGCTGGTGCTAGCGTGGCACAGTCGGTGCAGGCCCATCTACTGCCTTGCCAGGGGCTTTTCAGTGTTTTTTAGGGTTTAGGGTTTAGGGTTTAGGGTTTAGGGCTAGGGGCAGGTCGCTGAGGGGGAGGGGCTGTGCGGGGTCGTGTGTCTTGGAGTTTGGGGCCCTTGTTGAGACCAACCTAAACTACAGACCCCAAACCCTGAGCCCCAAGTTTCTCAAACCCCAACACCCTCGGGCCTATTTGAGAGTGCACCCGAAGGTGACTAGCGATGGGTTGCGCCTGGCAGCAAGCTTTCCTGTTTTTGTCTAGGGTTTATCGCTTAGGGGGGACACCCCACCCCCTCACAAAAGTAAGGACTCCCCGCTAAGACTTGTCACGCTACCCCTTAAACCCTAAACCCTAAATTTAAGAGCCTCCGGCTCAAGCCGCCGACCCCGCTGGAGCATAGTTGAGACCCGCTCGCATGGAAGATCATCCCCGGCAGAGTTCTGTGAATCGTTTGGGGGGGGGTAGGGGGTAGCACCAGGACAAGCTCAAGCCAAAAAGACAGGTGGGTGGGGGTGGGGGGGGGAGGGGGGGGGGGGTAGGGGGGTGGGGGGTGGGTTGGGGGGGGTGGGGTTGGGGGGGGGTGGGGTTGGGGGGGGGGGGGGGGGGGGGTGGGGGGGGGGGGGGGGGGGGGGTGGGGGGGGGGGGGGGGTGGGGGGGGGTGTGGGGGGGGGGGGGGGGGGGGGGGGGGGGGGGGGGGGGTGGAGGCGGGAAACGCTGATTTTGCTGAGGGCGCCCCTACCCCCCCGTGCTGAACCCCCTGTTTACGCTGTGCGGGTGGCGCGGTCCTCCACGAAAAAATTGTGCACCGACCCCCCCCACACCCCCCCCCCCCCCCCCCCCCCCCCCCCCCCCCCGCGTTTTTGGGGGGGTAAGGAGGGAAAGAGGGAGGTTTCACTTCCTTTTCCCATCCAACACGCCGCCAGGGTCGGCGGACCCTAAACCCTAAACCCTAAACCCTGAACCCTAAACCCTAAACCCTAAACCCCCGGCTTCTGGATCCTCAACGCTCAGCCTACTACAGCCTTCCAGCGCTCAAAGGCATCCCGGGCCTGGAAATGAAACCCCTCAGCCCTCAACCTTTCAACCCTCAACCCTGAACTCTGAACCCTATCAACCCTAAAGCCTAAACCCTAAACCCTAAACTAGACTAGACCTAAACCCTACCAGATGAGTCTCGAATCGTTCAGGACTTAGGGGCTTGGCTAAGACCCAAATGCAAACCCTAAACCCCAAAACCCTCAACCCAATAACCATAGCCCCACATTTCCAGATGCTTGGAATATCGAATGCCTCCCTTTGGCCTCCTCCTGCGAGCGGCCTTGTGGAAGGGTTTAGGGTTTAAGGTTTTAGGGTTTAGGGTTTAGAATTCTAGGAAACATGTGGGAAAGCAGCAGAGTGGCGCGCCTCAGTTTGGTGGCTTCGATGTGTGTGGGCGTGTGCGCCGAGTTCAACATCGAGTTGGACATACCGCCGCCCCTGCCAGCGGAGCACAGCATCTATGTTGACAAGGACCAGGTGGTGGACTTGGGGAACGGCAAGAAGCTTACAGTTGACGACATTGTCATTGGAATGGAGTACTTGTTCGAGCGTCGGGTGCTGTACGACAAGCAGAGGTGGCGGGGCATGATTATGGAGCAAAACCCCTTAGATGCTTTCGCAATCCAGCACTTCCTGTATAAAGCCAAGCCAGATGTGTTGATTGAGTTTGGAACGAATACCGGCGGCGCTGCCGTGTTCTATGCCGAAATGATGACGGCTTACAACCCCGCGTCGCACGTCATCACCATCGATCCCTTTGATCGCGTGTCGAGATCACACACAGGGTACGTGCCAGAGGTCCTTGCCTCCTCCAGCCCCTTGTGGGGCACTGCGGTGCGGCCCATCGTCGGAGATCCCACCTGGCGTAACGTGAGCGCTTTGGTCAGGAAGCTGCTGAGGGACTTCAACGCCAGCAGCGTGTTCATCATCGAAGACGGGCGCCACAGAAGACATTCCGTCCTGTCCAACTTGCTTATGTATCACGACCTGGTTACTTGGGCACAATTAGAAATAAAATTTAGTTTTTTGGGTACAGTACTTTAATTCCTAAGAATCACGCGAAATTTTAGTTTTTGCTAGGGTTCCAAGTTCAGTATAGGTGAAGCCCTGCGGCTGGATACTTGTACAGGACACGCGCTTGGATCGCACATTGCATCGGGCCGGAGAGGGGCCCTATGCAGCGGTGAAGGAATTCCTGACCCTTGCACCGTATTACCGGATTCGCCGAGACTTCGAGTACTATCTCTTCACCAACAACCCCATGGGCTGGCTGCAGAAAGTGCCTCCTAACCATGACTGTAGTAATGAAAGATGAGGCAGCGAGGTAATTGCTTTCTCTGTGGAGCGCGATGGTTTTCATCGCTGCCCTTGCAAACAGTTGCTGGCGTGGATGCGTGACGTGTCGATAAAGACCCCCTGGTTCTTAGTAGGGAATGAGGGAATTAGGGCAGGAAATAAATAGAGATATTGGGCACCAATTCGAAAGAATCAATGAAAGGGCCCATCCGCCCAGACTGTCCCCAGTGCAAACCTGAAAGGGGAGAACCCTTTTCCTTGCGCCAATCATCCAAATCTTCAATTTCAGCCAACTTAATTGCCAGAGTGTCCGAACGGCCCAAGTGAACCCCCCTGAGGTTCAGAACATCCCAAACTGGGTTCCACTTTGTTTATACTGCCGGTGGTTATAATAGGGTTAGGGCTAAGCCCTAAACTAAACCCTAAAGCCTAAACCCTAAGCCCTAAGCCCTAAACCCTAAACCCGAAACCCGAAACCCTAAACCCTAAACCCTAAACCCCAAACCCTGCACTCCAATGCCTTGAACCCATGGCACCGCCTGCGAGGTGAGAGGTGAGCTGGGCAAGGTGCACACAGGGCGCGCCTGTTGGACAAAAGGCTGTGCCCTATCCAAACCCTACATAAACCCGATTTAGGTCCAGGGTTTAGGGTTGAGGGACTATAGAGTTTAGGGATTAGGGATTAATTAGGGATTAGGGTTTAGGGTTTAGGGTTTAGGGTTTAGGGAAAGTCGACAGTGGTCCTTACGGTCCGTACGTATGAAGGACTGGCAGTATCATGTCTTCATCTGCGGGAGCTGGCAGGGGCTCGGGGCAACAAGGGGCCGGTTTGTTTTTGCAATGTCAAAGAATGCTTTCCTCATGGCTGTTTAGTGGTTCACAAGGCTCATGGCGTTTGGGTTTAGGGTTCAGGGTTCAGGGTTTAGGGTTGGGTTTTCCGGCGTCAACCTAATAGTTGAGTTTTTTCAGGGCTCCCAATGCCTAAACCGTGCACCTGGAACCCTAACTAAGGAAAGCTCCTACCCATGTCCCCTAAACCCCTTCTACCCGCCAACGCCTCCAAAGCCCTTCTGCCCCCCAAAACCCCCTGAACTCTGAACATGAGGGTAGGCGGTAGGGGGGGTTTCCTCAAGTACGAGTTTTCTAGGGGTGTCGTTGATGTGCTTTTCCGATCAAGACCGCAATTTTTCTGGGTTTCTTGTTCATGAACTGAGAATCAGTTGCCCTCACAAGGGCACGATAGCATTTTACTTGAAAATACCCTCATGATGGTAACTTATCTAAGAAGTTCCTTAACAAGAACCCTGTTGAACGAACGACCCGGGTTTATGGTTTCGGGCTTGGGATGTTCCCCCTTATACCAACAGTCCTTAATCAGAATTATGGCTTCAGGCTCCTCTGACAGGAACTGAGCATTTACAGGGACCTTTTGGGCAGCACCGTACCCTAAACCCTAAACGCTAAGCCCCTAAACCCTAAACCCTGAACCCTAAACCCTAAACCCTAAATCCTAAACCCTAAACCCTAAACCCTACACATGGGCTGTCCAAGAGTCCCTGGTGCACAACGCCATGCACATTCCCAAGAACTAGCTGGGACCCTCTTTACCTACCGTTCTTTATGGGTTTAGGGTTGGGACCCTCTTTAGGGTTTAGGGTTTAGGGTACCTACCAATTACGGGTAGTTACGACTAAACTGTAGGCAAATATAGAGCCCCAGGTAAGTGTTAGAGAGTTTGAGGGCGTACGGAAGAGACCCCTGTAAGGGACCAGCTGTGTAATTGGTGGCCCTGTTGGTCCGAGCCTGTTTACTTTGCGTGTGGAGATTGACCCCAAGCCCACGACGAACCCTAAACCCTACTAAACCCTACTAAACCCTACTAAACCCTACTAAACCCTACTAAACCCTACTAAACCCTGCTAAACCCTGCTAAACCCTACTAAACCCTAAACCCTAACCCCTAACCCCTGACCCCTAACCCCTAACCCTCAGCCCAGCCACACGCTGCATCCGCTTTTCTGGCTTCAGAACCCCTGGATTCCCTCGGGTTCACAGCGAAGCTGTTTGTGTCAGCACACTTGTCATTCGTGGCCTTTGGGGGGGAAAAAGGCCAACATTGCCATCTTCAAGTCTAAAAAGTAAATATAAAGAAATAAATATATATATATATGTATATATATATATATTTATGTATTTATCTGTTTATTTACTTAGTTATATAAAGACCATCTCTTGACTTTTCGACGCGGCGCAGCTAGCTACCTTCGGATGGGACACTTGCTCCTTCTTTGAAGCAGAGCAACATTGCGTGGGGAGCCCTGGATCTGCCACCTGTAGGGGGGTTTAGGGTTTAGGGTTTAGGGTTTAGGGTTTAGGGTTTAGGGTTTAGGGTTTAGGGTTTTAGGGTTTAGGGTTTAGGGTTTAGGGGTTAGGGTTTTAGGGTTTAGGGTTTAGGGTTTAGGGTTTAGGGTTTAGGGTTTAGGGTTTAGGGTTTAGGGTTTAGGATTTAGGGTTTAGGGTTTAGGGTTTAGGGTTTAGGGTTTAGGGTTTCTGCGTCTTGGGCAGCTTGAGCTTGAAAACCCTAAGCCTCCTTTGCGTCGCCCTTGGCTCTACTTCCGAAGATAGGGGGTGTACTCTTTTTGGGGGGGCCCCTTTAGGGGGATTCGAGTCTATTTGGGTACCCCTATTTTGGGAAATAGGGGGTGTACCCTTTTTGGGGGGTCCCTTTAAGGGGATTCTAGTCTACTATTTGGGTACCCCCTATTTTGGGAAATGCCCATATGGAGCACATAAAGCTATGGAAGGTACCCATAAGCTTCCCTTGTGCTTGCTGGAAGCAGTTGCTTGCTCGACAGTAGGACCCAGGAGGGCCCGCGGGAAGAGTTGCTACCCTCAGCCCTAAGCCCTAAACCCCAAGCCCTAAGCCCTAAACCCTAAGCCCTACTAAGCCCTACTAAGCCCTACTAAGCCCTACTAAGCCCTACTAAGCCCTACTAAGCCCTAAGCCCTGAGCCCTAAGCCTTAAACCCTAAGCCCTAAACTCTATTTAGCCTAGCAAGTACCCTTGCTCCCTTAAAGGGGCACCGTTCACCTTTGTCGGGTACTCAGGAACGTAGCTGGGATTTACATAGGCATGGGCAGAAGAGGGGTTTCCAAGGCTTGAGGTTCCTGGTGTTGGGGGGCTTTGGGCCGAAGGGGTCTATCGGGATGCTTCGCGGGGGAGAGCGGATCCTTTGATGGTTGTGCTCCAGGCCCCCCCCCCATATTCCCAGCCAAGCATCGGTGAGTATTAGTAAACCCCTTGGGCCCTAAACAAAAGAGATCAAGTACGTGAAGGGATACAAGTTCCTGAAACCCTGTTCCCCTAAACCCCGACTGTTTGAGTCAAATTCAGTGATGCTCACCCTAAGCCCCTCAAAGCCTAAGCCCAAAACCCCAGAATGAGGGATCAGTTCAGGGATGTGTCGAGGGCGCTGCCTTTCAATCTATCTGGGAGGGGTTTGTTCGGGGGAGTCCGTCTTCAGTATCCTTTCGGGTTCAGGGTTTAGGATTTAGGATGTAGGGTTTGGGGGTTTACGGCTGACTGTTTAGGGTTTATCGGGTTCATCGGGTTTATGGGGTTTATCCGGTTTTTAGGGTTTCTAGGGTTTCTAGGGTGTATAGGGTGTAGGGGTTTTTCTGATTTAGACCCCGAGCACAGGGGCCTTGAGCACAAGCCCACGGCCTCCCTCAGGTCCAAATCCAAGTGCTCGGATCTTAGTTTCCACGCCCAGGTCCTTGCTCGAAATGAATCCCGCGAATTACCTTGAAACCCTTAAGAAGCCTACAGCCCTAAAGTACCCTGAAGCCCTGTTCGGAGGGGTCGCTTTGTTTGGGGGAACTGTAGCAGCGCAACTCGTGCAGAAGGTGTCCGTAAACGGGAGCCGCAATCTCCATCACCCCCGCCCCACTCCTGCCTTGCGCGCTCTTGTGAGCCGCATCAGTGCTTTTAGGGTCCCTAAACCCTCAACCCCAAACCCTAAGCCAAGGGCTCGCCGAATCCCCGCGGTGTTTACAAGGGCCCACATGCCCCTACTCCGTCCGTGAGGAGGGCTTCCTTGCGCAATCCCCCCCAAAGCAGCTCCTAACCAGGACGGGCTAATTCTGCCCTACTCGGTAGGCCTTTGGGGCATTTCATTTCTTATTGGGTTTAGGAGGATCATCACATGTTTCAGAGGTTTTTCACAGCCATCCTAGGCCATAAGGGCCCTTTATGGGGTTGATTATGGGGATTAGAGGCCCAATACCGGACCCTGACAACCCTCGGAAACTTTAGCTTGGAGGCCTCTTTCCCTGAAGGTCTGTTCGTTGGGGCCCTTATACACCCCCTCAAGCCTACGCTCCCGCAACTCTACATCCCCTAAGGACCAACTCCCTAAAGCCCCTAATTTACCCTACATAGAGAGAGAACCCTAACACCCTTAAATTACCTTGAAGCCCTTAAAGAACCCGAAAGCCCCTGCATAACCCTGAAGCCCCGAAAAGAACCCTACAGCCCCGAAGTTCCCCTCAAACTTAAAGTTAACCCTAAACCCCCCCAATTATTCTGAAGCCCCAAAGATGCTCGAAATTTCCTAAAGCCCCCCCCAATTGAACCCTAAAACCCTAAACCCTAAACCCTAAACCCTAAACCCTAAACCCTAAACCCTAAACCCTAAACCTCCCGAAAGCCGTAGGTTTCAGTTCCACCCTGATGAAGCTGATTCAGACCGTGAAGCGCCGAATGGGCCAGGGCCTCATACCGTTCTTGTTCCGGGTGTTAGGGTGTTTCGGGTGTTTGGGGTTCGGGTTTAGGGTTTCGGTTGAGGGTTTGGGGTTTAGGGTTGAGGGTTTAGGGTTTCAAGTATCTATTCTTCATATAGGGCTTCATGGGGTTTAGAGTGCTTTAGGAACTTTAGGAATAGCCGTGGCTTACAGGGCTTTACCGAGAGTCTAGCGCACAAAGGGTGTAGGGCACATGGCTTTCTAGGGGTGTTATGTTCATAGGATGTTTACAGGGTTTATTGGCTTTACTACGGGTTTCCAGGGCTTATAGGGTGTGCAGGGTTTCTCTTTCTAGGGGTGTTATGTTCATAGGATGTTTACAGGGTTTATTGGCTTTACTACGGGTTTCCAGGGCTTCTAGGGTGTGCAGGGTTTCTGGGCGTGTGGGGAAACGGCGTGCGCACGGTGCGCGCACGGGAACTTGCCGTTCACGGGTTGCTTCTGACGGGCGATCTTGAAGCAGCGCGGCAGGGCGATCTCAAAGCAGGGGGAAGAAGAAGATGGTTTGGGATGTTTCCCCCTTGTACTAACAGTCCTTTATAAGGATTACCCTATAAACCTTAAACCCTAAACCCTAAACCCCCGATTGGAACCGCTATTTAAGTACTGTGGGAACATCCCGAAAGATGGTGTTGACCAGAGCCCTTCACGGCAGATGGCTTTTGGAGCAGGGCTTCTTGCGCGTCTGGGGAGTCTAGGGCCTTAGGTAGGGCCTTAGGTGGGTTTAGGGTTTAGGGTTGAGGGTTTCGGGTTTAGGGTTTAGGGACAGGGCTTCTTTCGGGTTTAGGGGTTTAGGGCATTGGACTTCGAGGCGTATGTTCGGCAAGAGCCTTAGGATGGGAGGGTCGCCCCAAACCTCCCCTTATTGGGGGTACGGCCACCAGTCTCAGACCAAGAGCAGCAGGAACCTTGAACCCCAAAGCCGGAGCCCTGCTTCTTGCTGAGTACTTGATGCAACCTTCCTTCCCTTATCTTTACTTTGTAGGGTCAGTCAGTTTAGGGCTCGGGATTTGGGGTGCTTAGGGTTCAGGATTTAAGGTTCATGGTGTGTCATGCGAGGGAGTGCTTTGGTGGGAAAGAAAGGCTAGACATCGCGTGTCAGTCGCTAGTCGCTAAACGGACACGAGCTTTAGGTGGGTCTAGGGCAATGGGGAATAGGCTTTATAAGGGAAGTTCAGGATTTGGGAGGGTGTTCGAAGACTGGTATGGTTATGTGCTTGTGGCCTGTAAGGGATTAAGTAGGCTAGGGTTTGGTTTGGGGTTTGGGGTTTGGGGTTTGGGGTTTGGGGTTTGGGCTTTCGAAAGGGTACCTGGTACCTTGAATGAAGACTTTCATTCTTGCTCGGGATTCCCGGGCTAGACCGGAAACCTTAAACCTAGACAAGCCCTGAAAGGACCATGCCAGTGTTCAGCATGTAGGGTTTGCAGGACTTAAGGTTTGGGATTCCGGCCTTAAACCCTAAACCCTAAAGCCTAAACCCTAAGGTTTTGGGGGTCGCTACTCTGATGGCTCAGGCAACGATGACAAGAAGACCTCAGCCACCCGGACCGGAGCCACCGGTAGTGGCAGCAGCACCTCGGCAGGAGCTGGGCAAGTTCCAGGTTTTCGCGGGAGGGAAGGCTGAGAAAACTCCGACTACACGCTACATTCCCATGCACCCTGAGCCCAAATTCCTAAACCCCTAAACCCCTAAACCCCTAAACCCCTAAACCCCTAAACCCCTAAACCCCAAAACCCCTAAACCCCAAAACCCCAAAACCCCAAAACCCCAAAACCCCAAGACCCCTAGACCCCTAAACCCCTAAACCCCTAAAGCCCTAAACCCTAAACCCCTAAACCCCTAAACCCCTAAACCCCTAAACCCCTAAACCCCTAAACCCCTAAACCCCTAAACCCCTAAACCCCTAAACCCCTAAACCCCAATCCCCAGACCAGCATTGCAGGGCTGAGATTCTGGTTCGCGTTGGGGCGAGTAGGTGTCAAGAGCAAGAAAAAAGCCCCAGCTCCTAAGCCGCAGAAGCCCAAGCCACGTGTGTAGCCGAAGTAAGCACCCTGAACCCTAAACCCTAAACCCTAAACCCTAAACCCCAAACCCTAAACCCTACACCCTAAACCCTAAACCCCAAACCCTAAACCCCAGTGAGCCCCTTGGGCCTGCGGGCTCATCTGTGCGCTCAAGGCAACAGCAGTGGAAGCGGCTCAGATCCAGCTGCCAAGAGCAAGGCAAACCCAAAAGAGTGTTTTCCTGGGACTTTTTTAAACTAGGGTTTAGGGTTTAGGGTTTAGGGTTTAGGGTTTAGGGTTTAGGGTTTAGGTTTTAGGGTTTAGGCAAACCGAACAGAGAGTGTGTTTTTGTGATCTTTCCGAAGGGTCCATGTACCTCGTTACTATCCACTCGGGCCCTAAAGTCCCTGTATAGGAGGTACTTTCAGGCCCAAGCATAAAAGAATTAGGTACATGGACCCTTAGGGCTTTTGTGTGAAGAGAAGTTCAGGGTCTAGAGTTTGGGGGTTGTGGTCTAGGATTTTGGGTTTAGGGTGTAGGGTTTAGGAAGCTGATGATGCTCTCAGGGCACTTAGGGTTTAGGGCTTTTGCATGGGGCTTAGCAGACAGAAGAAGCCGGATCCCTCCAGCAGTGCAGCAGTGCAGGGGTGCATGACATGCAGGGGTTTAGGGTTTAGGGTTTAGGGTTTAGGGTTTAGGGTTTAGGGTTTAGGGTTACCAAACCGCATGACAGGCCACACCTACAAATTCGAACGGAAGCCGGGCGGCAACGGCAAAGCCGGCGACGGAGCCGAAGCCTCAAGCGGGGTTCTGGAGCCTAGAGGGCCCATGTATAGTGCTATGATCTAGGTAGGCCAAGAAGATCATATCCAGGAATATTCTTCAGAGGGTTTTCTGATGTTTTATGGGGCAACCTAGTGATATATGATTCCAGTTTAGGGTTCCGCGTTTAGGGTTGAGGGGCGGGCGGTAGCCATGGTGCCTTGGATTATGGAGTTCTAGGGCGGAATCGGGGCGCGTAACAAGGATTGTACTCTGGGGCCTCCCCAACAACAGGCCCAAAACCTGCGGAGCCTGATTTTCGGGTTTAGGGCTAAGGATCCAAGACCCTAAACCCTAAACCCGAGGATAAATACTCAACACAAAAAGGGTTTCGGGTTTAGGGGACTGCTCAGGGCCTAGCGTAGCGGATCCTGCTAACCCTAAACCCTTAACCCTAAACCCTAAACCCTGAACCCTGAACCCTAAGCCCTAAGCCCTAAGCCCTAAGCCCTAAGCCCGAAGCCCTAAACCCTAAGCCCTAAGCCCTAAGCCCTAACCCTAAACCCTAAACCCTAAACCCTACACCCTACACCCTAAACCCTAAACCCTAACCCCTAATCCCTAACCCTAAAATTCCCAACCCGAAAGCCCCCAGCAACTGGCACAGGTCGTCCAACTTTGCGGCCATCCCGAAGCTTCGCGAGGTAGGGTTTAGGGTTTAGGTTTGAGGGTTTAGGGTTTAGGGTTTGGGTTTAGGGTGTATGTAGGGCTGAATCTCTCTAAGCCCTAGACCCTGCATTTTCAAGTGGAGATTGACGGAAAGCTTACGGAGGACCAGCTCCAAGGTGATGCGTGGAGGTTGATTCAAATGACTTTGCCCTAACACCCCTACACCATAGAGACCTGATTTCGATCTGTTACCCTTCTCAGCCTCCGAAAGCCAAGAGCAACTCCCTGTCGGAGGAACGTTTCTGGAATCGAGGGCATGGAGTCTTCAGGGTGTTTTTTGAGTTTAGGGTTTAGGGTTTTTAGGGTTTAGGGTTTTTAGGGTTTAGGGTTCAGGGAAATTTGGGAAGCAGTCTATTTCGGGTTCAGGGTCTTTCGACCCAAGTTTTGGGCCCAACGAGTTGCTCGTCGTTCGGGGTAGTCAGGGCTTCGGGCTCTCGGGAGCCTCCGAGGCTTTTGAGGTTTGGCGCCCCGGGTTGTTAGGCCCTCAGGGCCTTAGCTTGGTGGCCCAGTGCCCCCAACTTCCATCTGCACAGGCACCGCCACAGGAGCGCACTGACCTTTTCCGCAAGAAGATGGAGGCCAGGGGTGCTGTTGGTGTAGGGTTCAGAGTCTAGAGTCTGGCGCTATGCCGTCTGGGATCTTGCGTCATAGCACGTAGCTGATGAGCGTAGACTCGCTGTCTTTCTGGCGGTTTCAGCCAGTGGTGCAGAGGTCTTGGGTCAAGATATTCCCCGGAACAACCAGGTCATGTATATACTAAGGCACCATGGAACTGCCCTAAGAAACCCTCGAGCAATCTGACCCTCAGGTGTGCTCCGTCGTTTTTGACTTTCACAATGACAACAATCAGAAGGCCGGGTTTAGGATTTAGGGTTTAGGGTTTAGGGTTGGGGTTCAGGGTTCAGGGTTTAGGGTGTAGCGTTTAGGGGCGGGCCTCTCCCCCCTTTTCACCATTAGCTGCACGATCGCCGCACACCATCCACTGCGCCTGCCGCTATGCTGAGGCACTCAGCTGCCATCCTCTGGATGGGGGTTGTACTAAACGAGAGGGCCCCTTGAGGCATTGACCTTCTTATGAGCGAGATTCGTCCCCCCCTAAGAGACGCCCTGGTCCACAACAACCCCCCCTAGTCCCAAACCCCTTAGATCCCTAAATCTCTTACATCCCGAAGCCCCGAGACCTGGGAGTTTACGAACATCAAGGACCCTATACTTGCCCCTCCCAAATAGTACTAAACCCTAAACCCGAAACCCTAAACCCTAAACCCTAAACCCTAAACCCTAAACCCTACACTTTAGTAAACCCCTACCTTGTGAGCCAGGAGAAGGAGGCCAAGCGCCAGACACTCTTGGAGATCGTGGAGTGCCCCGCCATCCTTTTTTGGGTGAGCTGCAGGTTTAGGGTTTAGGGTTTAGGGTTTAGGGTTTAGGGTTTAGGGTTTAGGGTTTAGGGTTTAGGGTGGGTTTAGGGTTTAGGGTTTAGGGTTGTTGGGCTTTCTAGGTGTCAGGGCTCCAAAACGCCCAAAACCTTCGTGCCCAAACCCTGTGAATCCTGTCCAGAACTTGTCTGGAGCTTTCCTGAGCTTCAGGGTTTCAGGGTGTCGGGTTTAGGAGTTAAGACTGGGATAGGGCACCAATACACTCAGCTTCACTAAGTTGTCCTAAACCCTAAACCCTAAACGCTAAACCCTAAACCCTAAACCCTAAACCCTAAACCCTAAACCCGAAAAGGTCTGGCCCCAGGAAAGGCCAACGACTGTCTTCGAACCCTGCAGCATCCCTCCTACAGCATCCCTACAGCTCCACTCCCTCCTAAACCCTAAACCCTAAACCCTAAACCCTAAACCCTAAACCCTAAACCCTAAACCCTAAACCCTAAACCCTAAACCCTAAACCCTAAACCCTAAACCCTAAACCCTAAACCCTAAACCCTAAACCCTAAACCCTACACCCTAAACCTAAACCCTAAACCCTGCATTTTGCTCCTGCCAATGCTGGTCGCGCCAGGTACGTCAACAACACACGCAACTGCTTCAACGAAGCCCTGATGTGACTCGGGCATCTGAACCCCTAAAAAAGACTTGGGATGTTCACCCTTATACTAGCAGTCCTGCACAGGGACTATACCCCCTCTTACAATCCTTACTAAGGGCTGTTAGTATTAGGGGGAACATCCCTAAACCCTAAACCCTAAACCCTAAACCCTAAACCCTGAACCCTAAACCCTAAACCCTAGATTAGGGTTTAGGGTTTAGGGTTTGGGGGATGTACCTTTTTTACGGTCCACTGTCCACAGGGTTATATTCAGGGCACCGCAAGAAGGGACCGTATCTTAGCGAGTTTAGGGTTTAGGGTTTAGGGTCATCAATCAAGCTGCCCTGTCCAAGATCTACATTGCGAAGGCTGGAGAAACTCGAGTGAACAGCGCTGAGGATATTTAGGGTTTAGGGTTTAGGGTATACGAACAGTCTTTCATGGGATTATAATGGGGGGGGGGGGGGGTACTATAATCCCTAGTCAGGACTGTTAGTCTAAGCGGGAACAGCCGAAGATCTAAGCCCCACAGCCGATGGAGTGGACGTGAACTCGGGAGCTCGAAGCCAACAAGCATGTGGGTGGTTGTCAAAAGCATGATCCCTTTTGGGGTACCCTAAACCCTAAACCCTAAACCCTAAACCCTAAACATTAAACATTAGATGCCGTATTCTAATCACGGGATCCAAAAAGGGGGACCACCCTGTGTGGCCGAGGCACGACGTGGTTAGCATGGCGCGGAGCTCGGCTTGCTGGGTATCTGGATTCGCTACTAGTTGCTTAAGAACCCCCAAGAATAAAGAAACACATATCTATATATATACATATAATGTATATATATATATATATATATATAATTATATATGTATACATATATATATATATATATATTCTTCCGTACAAGGGTAATATAGGGATTATGATTTCTAATTCTTTTGGGGTTCTTAAGCAAGTAGACTGCTGGACACTGTGTGCTTTGTTGGGGTGCAGGGTTTAGGGTCCGGAAGCTCTGGACCCCCAGCGCTGTGCTTATGGCTAAGGGTTTATGTGGAGGCCGGGAAGTGACTTGTGGTTACTGGGGCAGCAAGGGGGTTTAAGGGGTTTTCTGTCTCAAGGGCTCGGGGATGGACAGAGTCTTGCGGTGGGTTCAGGGTGTGAGGATCCCGGGATTCAGCGTTTAGGGTTCAGGGCCTAGGGTTCAGGGGTTAGGCTTTGGACCCTAAACCCTGAACCCTAAACCCCAAACCCCAAACCCCAAACCCTAAACCCTAAACCCTGAACCCTAAACCCTAAACCCTAAACCTAGACCCTAAACCCTGAACCCTGTATCCCCAAAACTTAAACACCTTCCAACGATCGCATCCCAAGGTCGGTGCGAACATTTTTCGAGCCTTGCAGACACGCAACAAGGAGTCGGGTTTAGGGTTTAGGGTTTAGGGTTTAGGGTTTAGGGTTAGGGTTTAGGGTTTAGGGTTTAGAGTTTAGGGTTTAGGGTTTAGGGTTTAGGGTTTAGGGTTTAGGGTTTACTACCAGGATGGGCTATTTAGGCCTTATCATGCCCACAATCAACCCTATGAAGGGCCTTTTTAAGGGGGTTATAGGGTATAATATCCCATCCTGCTATACATACTTTAGTTTGGGAATGAGGTGCCCCTATGTGATCCCCGTAAGGGGGGTTATATAGGCGAATAGAAGGTACCTAATTCCCTTACTTTTGAGCCGGGAGTGTGAGCCTTCATGGCTTGGCAGGCCAGTGGTACCCTAAACCCTAAACCCTAAACCCTAAACCCTAAACCCTAAACCCTAAACCCTGTGCTCCATTCTTGGGTTTGCTTATACAGTAACGGACCAAAAGGGTTGCTGGGCTACCAAGTGGGGCGTCCATAGTAGAGGGTTGAGGGTTCAGGGTTTAGGGTTTAGGGCTGAGGGTTGAGGCCCCAATACTTGAGCCCTGGAAGTTTGTGTGGATCACTTGATGAGTTCGCGGTTTTGGGTTAGGGGTCGAGGGGTGAAAATACGGGGCTTAGAAGCATTGATGAGCGCTTTTGGGTTTCTTTACCGGGGGGTGCGGGGGGAGCCAGTTGTCGCACTGTGGGCGCGGATTGACAGGGCGTTCCGGGTTTCATCTGTATATGGGAGCTGAGGGTAGATACATATATACATATACGGATATTCATTATATTATACATACATGTACGCATACAGGGTTTAGGGTTTAGGGTTTAGGGTTTAGGGTTTAGGGTTTTGTTCTGTAGGCAGGCGCTGCCTGCTCTTTCTCTCTCTCTCTCTCTCTCTCGCTCACTCTCTCACTGTCTCACTCTCTCACTCTCTCACTCTCTCACTCTCTCTCTCTTTTCTCTCACTCCTCTTCTCTCTTTGTCTCTCTCTCTCTCTCTCTATATATATATATATACACATGTGTTTTTCATATTTATGCAAATATGTTTATACTTAAAACTGTATACGTTTATATGTGTATGTATATATATATATATATATGATATACACATGTGTGGGTATGTCTGTGTGTGTGTGTGTGTCTGTGTCTCTGTGTCTCTGTGTCTCTGTGTGTCTGTGTCTCTGTGTGTCTCTGTGTGTCTCTGTGTGTCTCTGTGTGTCTCTATGTGTCTGCGTGCCTGTGTGTCACTGTGTGTCTGTGTGTCTGCGTGTCTGCTTGTCTCTGTGCCTGTGTGTCTTTGCGTCTGGTGCGTGCTGTAGATGTGGATGTGCACATATCCAGAACCTGCCGATGATGACGTCGTCCTTTCGCAGTCATGGCCTGCATGATCAAGAGAGCGTTGTTGTTTCTGAGTTCAGGCACAGAATGCTTAGGGTCTCCAACTGAAGGCAGCTTTCTTCGGTAGGCCTTTGGGAGAATTTCTACTTTCCCTTGTTGGGTAAGTTGGGTTTAAGCGGATTATCTTCAGGAGTATTTTTCAGAGGGATTCAGGGTCATCCTAGTTACTGAGTTGCTATAGTGCATAGAGCACTGCCCATCGAGCTCATGGATCCACCGAAGAGAGCCTTCAAATCAGCGAGTGGTCAGCCAGCCCGAAAGGTTCCTCGTAGTGCTGACGCAGCGCAGGAAAGGCTCAATGATGAGTTGCATGACGCTTGCAGCAAAAGCAACTGTGACCGCATCATAGAAGCAGTCCGTCGTGGCGCAGATGTGATGTCTGCCCCTGGCGGATGGTGCAATGCAGCGTACATAGCTGCTCTGTGTCGACGCCCTGATGCCCTCAGAGAAGTCCTTGCCGCACCTTAGGGATACTTGGAAATGTGCTTTTAAACTTTGGTATTTAATTCCAAAGAAACAGTTAAATTTTAATCTTTGCTAGGGTTCAAAGTTCAGCAAAGGCACCGGGCATTGACATCAACAAGGTAGGCCCTGGTCCCGTGTGGCCAATTTTCGGGGTCACTGCGAACGATTTTGGCACTGGCACCGACGACACCGAGTGCCTCGAGCTCCTGCTGGAGGCCGGCGCAAACCCTGCTTTTCACAACGAGTACAACTTCACGATGCTCACTTATGCGTGTTCAGAAGGGTTTGAGCGTTGTGCGCGGAGGCTGCTGGAGGATCCACGTTGCCAAACTCTGGAGTACCTCACAGCAGCAGATCGGTCGTGGGGAAATACTGCCGAGAAGGAGGCGCGAAAGCAAGGAAACAAGGAACTGGCTGATCACATCAAAGCCACCATCGCATCACTGAGGTGATCGCTTTGTGATACAGCACTGGCGAGAACCACGATGTCTGTCGCCGGAATGGAGATGATGGCGTTGTATAGCATCACAGCTTCTGCGGTGTTGTGGCAACGCGGGCTAAATCAAGATGCCCCGAAACCAACGGAAGACAAGACCGACACTACGAGCTCTTCCCGGAGATCGGATAGAAAGGGTGGGACCGGGAGTAGGCCCGTTTTTCCTTTTTTTAGGGTCGGGGCTCCCTTATAATCCCCTTAAAACCAAAAAGGGCACCCTGTTTATTCCTAGGTTACTCCTGGTTCTAGGTTAATAAAATCCTCAAACCCTAAACCCTAAACCCTAAACCCTAAACCCTAAACCCTAAACCCTTTTCAGGTAGGATTGAAGGTTCCGGAGTCTGAGATGGGGGGTGAAGAACACAGAAGGGCCTGCCCATGGTGTTGGGTACCCTGAGTTAGGGTTTAGGGTTTAGGGTTTAGGGTTTAGGGCTTAGGGTTTAGGGTTTAGGGTTAGGGTTTAGGGTTTAGGGTTTAGGGTTTCGGGTTTAGGGTTTAGGGTTTAGGGTTTAGGGTTTAGGGTTTATGGTTTAGGGTTTAGGGTTTCGGGTTTAGGGTTAGTTTGGGGCCCGTAGTATGATAGGCCATGAGAGCCTTCTCCACAGGACCCGCTGGCGTTCTCCGACCCCGAAGACGTCGGGGGCCTAGTCTTTGGCTGCTGCGCAAAGGTTGTCGACCCTAAACTTGAAACCCTAGCCGGGCGGATAGGCTCTGCAGCTACTTGGTGGGCATGGAATTTTTGCAACTCGATATGGAAGCAATAAAGAAGGGGCCCCCAGTTGATACATGCTGCTGACGGCAAAACGGTTCAAGAGGGGACCAAGCCGTGGGCTGCTGGTGGCCAGTTGTATCTGCCTCCTACGCAGTTGCGACTGCTAATCTTGGGGGGTCGAATGAATTACTGACAAAAATATTCCCTAATGCTCTCTTTGTAATCACACTTTTACAACCCCCAAAGCCCTATTCTAACACTATTCTAACCATTCAGGCCCCTATATAGCCCTTACACCTGGCAAGGGTGGCATGCTTCTTAGGTGCCATCATTTTACAGTTTTTGTTGCGGGCTCTAGGAACTCTGAAAACTTCATGGCGGGCAGCTGCTTGCAAGTCCAACCGGGGAAATGCAGAGCACCCAAGCCTGAGGTGCTGGGTTTAGGAGGGTTTGGGGATTAGCCCTTCGGCTTGTGCAACACTGCAACTCTCACAGCACTGTATGTGCAACCAGCGCCAGCTCCCCCATCCCTAGAAACACTGGGTACTGAACCGGAGAACCTCAATCTTAAATGCCATGGAATTCTGAACCCTGAGCCTAGCTTGCACCCCTTGGGAAATGCGCTTGCTCGAGCCGCGAGGTTCAAGTTTTTGTCTGTGTCTGCACGTCGTATAAATCGTGCAAGGACTCCGGCCGATGCCACTGCGCCGCCCTGCGGGCGCATGTCTGCTTGGGCTGGTGCTGGCTTCTCCGTTTCTGCTGCTATGTCTGGGAAGCAGCAGTAGGTCGCATGTGGGCTTTGCAGGCTGTCCTGTCAGCCTCAGGCTTGGCCCAGGCCATGCTGCCTGCAGAGGTGCGCGATCCGGGATCCTGTGCCGCGTGCGGGAGCGACGACGATCTCCTCCGGGCCGGCAGCCTCTCAAACCCTGGGTTCTGACTTCGAAGATCAAGAATACATCTTCAACCATGGAGATGCTGGCTCTCATTGACAAGGAGCTCGACGGACAGGGTTTCGACCAAATCCATATGTCAGCCACCTTCACTCGGGCAGCGTTCTTCAAGAGAAGTCGCAAGCGGTTAGGAGGTGATACCAGAAGTTCCACATGGCCCAAACTGGCGAAAAAGTTGCGAGCCATGCTCGAGAAAAACATGATCCCTCCGCGTGAGGCTGCAAACGTGCTGTGGGCCCTTGTTGAGATGTATCGAGACATTGGCACGTACATGGACAGCACAGTACCAATTCTTGTGTGCTGTGTGCGGGACAAAGCAGGAGGTATGAAACCGCAAGAACTGTCAAACAGCTTGTGGGCGATTGCCAAGCTGCAAGAGGCAGCACCAACAGTCCTCATGGCTGTGCCTGCCATCGCGGAGTGCATCCCGCAGAAGGTCAAGAGTATGAAGCCTCAAGAGTTATCCAACAGCTTGTGGGCGACTGCCAAACTACACGAAGCATCCCCGGCTGTTTTAATGGCTGTTCCTGCCATTGCGGAGTGCATACCGCAGAAGGTGGAGAGTATGATTCCTCAGCACTTGTCGAACTGTTTGTGGGCGGCTGCAAATCTGCAAGAGGCAGCACCGGCGGTCCTCATAGCAGTTCCTGCTATTGTAGAGCGCATTCCGCAGAAGGTGGAGATCATGAATCCTCAAGAGCTATCCAACTGCCTCTGGGCGACAGCAAACTTGCAAGAGGCAGTCCCGGCTGTCCTGCTAGCTGTGCCAGCAATCGCGGACCGCATGCCACAACAGGTAGAGAGCATGAACCCACAAGATTTGGCCAACAACCTTTGGGCAGCTGCCAAACTGCAAGAGTCAGCCCCTGTTCTCCTGACGGCTGTGCCCTCCATTGCAGAGCCTCGGTAGGCCCTTGGGACATGTTGTGTTTTCCCTTGTTGGGCTCAGAGGACTATCTTTAGGGATATTTGTCAGAGGGTTTTAAGGGCCATCCTAGGAGCACATTCCACGGAAAGCTCAGAGCATGAGTGATCAGCAGTTGTCGAATATTTTTTGGGCGACGGCGAAACTTCAAGATGCGGCCCCAGCCATCTTAACGGCTGCACCAGCGATTACGAAACGGATAGCACAAAAGGCAGAGAGCATGACTCCACGAGACTTGTCGAACAACCTGTGGGCAGCAGCGAAAATGCAAGAGCTTGTACCTCCCGTCCTCAGGGCTGTGCCCGCCATCGTGGATTACATGTCACAGAAGGTCGACAGCATGACTTCGCAAGATTTGTCGATGAGCCTATGGAGTGCAGCGCACTTGCAAGAGGCGGAGCCTGCTGTCCTGATGGTTGTGCCTGCCATCGCCGAGTGCATGCTTCAAAAGGTAGCGACCATGAACGAACAGGGCTTGTCGAGCAGCTTGTGGGCAATGGCAAAACTCCAAGATGTCGTGCCAGTTGTATTGAGCCCCTTGCCAGCCATTCTTGCCCAGATTCCTCAGAAGATTGCTGGCATGAATATCCCACAGTTGCAGATGTCTTCGTGGGCTGTTGCCCAACTGGGCGAAGAGGAACTCAAAGCAACGTTGAAGGCAGAGCTTGCTCGGCGCAACAGATGAAGAAGAGCCCTTTTCCTCAGCCTTTGCACCTGAATTCGTAGTTTCAATGTGCGAGCTGGAGGTGAATGAGCTGAGAAGCTCGTTTCCGCAGTGGACATTCGTCCTGTTCTGCGGGCCTGCCGGTTGCAGCAGCCGCCCTCTACGCCGGCCCCGCTTGCACCAGCTCAGCACAGTGCTCCCTCGGGAGCACGGCTCGGGCTCGGAGTGCAAGCGTCCGCTGTGGTTGCTGCGGTTCTGCGCCCGTGTCGTTTTTTAAAACGCATGTTTTCCTACTTGAGCAGCTTGTAACAGACCTGACTCTTGGGTCATTTCCAATATCCAGCAGTGCGAGGATGCGAAAGACCGCATAGGATCAGACTTAAGCCCTGAAGTCCTTACACCCCCACCCAAAATCCTAGACCCTATAGACCCTCTAGACCCTCTAGACCCTCTAGAGCCTATAGACCCTAAGCCCTAAACCTTTGCGTACCGTTGGCTAGGAATAGTAGGGAATGAGGTACCCTATATCCCCCTATGTATACCCTTTTAAGGGATTATATAGGGTACCCTATATCCCTCTATATATACCCTTTGAGGGATTATATGGGGTACCACATTCCCTCATTCCCTACCAACCAACAGTAAGTTCAAGCCCGTAGATGACGTTGAGCGGAGGTAAGGCCGACAAAACGTACTATACAAGACTTGAGGGCATCTTGAGCCCAATGGTTTAGGGTTTAGGGTTGAGGGTTTAGGGTTTAGAGTTTAGGGTTTAGGGATTAGGAACCTCTGCCCCTGAACCCCCCCCTGAAAGCTCGAAGACTTCGCCCCCGGTTTCAACTTCGCAGAAGCTGAGGATGAGCCCTCTCTTGAGCGAGCATGGCCCCACTTGCTTCTTGCTTAGCGCGGGAGATGGTGGGGTTTGGGGTTTAGGGTTTAGGGTTTGGGGTGAGTCTCGTTTTCTGGGCTTCGAGCATTGGGGGTTCGCTTGGCGGGTCTGTGACTTTAGGCTAGGCCGAACCCGAAACCCTAAAGCCTAAACCCTACTGGAATTTTGGAGCGTTGGGGTTTGGACTCAGGGCAATTCTTGGCATTTTTTGGTCAAGGCCAGAAGCTTCAAGGTATGAGGGAACAGAGGCGCCGAAGACCCTGGCCCTAACCCCCAAACTTCCCCCTGCTCCACCCAAACCCTGGAACCCCAAGAACCGTAAGGCCCTTAGTTGCCCTAGAGCCCGAAACCCTAGAACCCCGGAACCCTGGAACCCTACAGGGCCCTAAGCCCTGGAACCCTAGAACCCGAAGCCCCCTTAAGCCTGCAAGCATCATAGGGCCTCGCAGTCCGAGACGTTCTAAGGGTCGTATGCACCCTTGCCAACTTTATATAGGGTTCTGAAGTATGCGCCCTTAATTTGGATAGGGTCTACAAGGGGTGTATAAGTGAGTCCCCTTCTAAGGGCCCCCTACTAAGGGCCATGTAGCTACCCTAAGAGACGTTGCCTCGACATGAGGCAGATCGTGTACGAGTTTTTCTTGCGTTTCGTCGTCTCCAACGATGTGGATCCGAAGATCGCCTGGGCCTCGGTTCAAGACAAGCAGAAGCCAAGGAAGGGTGTAGCCTACACCACAAACACTGAATTAAACCCTCTACCCTAAACCCCAAGCCCTAAACCCTAAACCCTAAACCCTAAACCCTTAACCCTAAGCCCTAAGCCCTAAGCCCTAAGCCCTAAGCCCTAAACCCTAGCCCTAAACCCTAAACCCCCAGAGAGCCCCAGCAGAATGGCCCCCTGCGTTCAGGCCAAGCGCTTCGTCGACCAAAACTTCATGCTGAAGCTCTTGGAGCTCTTTGATTCCGAGGCTTTAGGGTTTAGAGTTTAGAGTTATTTAGGTTTAGGGTTTAGGGTTTAGGGTTTAGGGTTTAGGGTTTAGGGTTTAGAGTTATTTAGGGTCTAGGGTTTAGTGTTTAGAGGGTTTATAGGGTTGAAAAGGGTTGATAGGGTTTATAGGGATAAGTTTATAGGGTTTATAGGGTTTGTAGGGTTTATAGGGTTTATAGGGTTTATAGGGTTTATAGGGTTTATAGGGTTTATAGGGTTTATAGGGTTTATAGGGTTTATAGGGTTTATAGGGTTTAGGGTTTATAGGGTTTGGGGTTTGGTGTTTAGGGTTTAGGGTTTAGGGTTTAGGGTTTGCGGTTCTCAGAGGGCTTTGTTTATAGGGCTTTTTAGGGTTTTTAGGGTTTAAGCTGAAGCTCTTGGAGCTCTGTGATTCCGAGGCTTGGGGATTGGGGGTTGAGGGTTCAGGGTTTAGGGTTGGGATTCAGGGTTTGTCAAAGGACTTTGTTTTGTTGGGTGGCGGGGGGGGGGGGGGGGGGGGGGGGGGGGGGGGGGGCAGCTGAGCCGTGTCCGCCCCAGGGCTTAAGGGTTAGCTTGGGTCCAGGCCTGTAGTTGTAGTTTGAAGGGTTTTGAGTTTAAAGTTAAAAGGGTCTCCCCTTGCTGGGCAGAGCCGTAGATTTGTCCCTGTCAGGATCCACGCGAGCGGGACTATTTGAAGACGATTCTGCATCGCATTTATGGCCGGGAGGGGTTTCGGCTGTGAAGCTGCGATTGGAACCGTTCTTTGCGAAGCAGAACCTCATGATACATGCTTTTTCCAGCACTAGCTCCGGCTCCCCCTAAACCCTAAACCCTGAACCCTGTTGCAGGCAAGTTCATGGCCCTCCGATCCTTCATCCGACGTGCCATTCAGCACGTTTTCTTCAAGGCCTGTTTGCCTTGTGACAGCTTCGAACTTAGCAACAGCTTGCTGCATAACACGCTGCTTCCTTGAATTCCGCAGCCCCGCAGGTCATTTACGAATCTGAGACTCACAATGGTGTCGGTGAATTGCTCGAGATCTTGGGCAGCATCATCAACGGCCACTTGTCAGCAAGACGCCGCTGCACGTTCGCTCTTGTCGTGACGGAAGGATTAGGGTAACCTCGCCGAGGAGAGCCCAAATACACTGAAATCCTTAGGAACAGTCAGTGATCCATGGCAATGCCGAAACCTAAACCCCCTAAACCCTGACCACTCAAAGGCCCCCAAACCCTGCAAGCTCGAAGCCCTACACCCCCCTGAGCTCCATTAAACCCAAACCCCTCAAAGCCATACCCTGAAACCGAGGCTTTGCTCTTCCATTGAAAGAAGAGCACAAAGACTTCCTGATCAAGGCGCTCATCCCACTGCACAAGGCGCGGGTTGGGTCGTTTTCGGGTGTAGGGCGCTCAGGGTTTAGGAATTTAGAGGTCAGGGCTGAGGACTTAAGGTTTCAATGTTAGTGTTTGTTTAGGGATTGTGGCCTGAGGGTTTGAGGTTCTGCCCTAAACCCTAGACTCTATAGATACACTATACTGTATATTCCCAAGGGTGTATAGTGTATACACCCTATGGAAACTTAGGGTGTATCCAACCCTAAACCCTAAACCCTAAACCCTAAACCCTAAGCTTCCATAGGGTTTTTAGCTCGTGGCAGGCTCTCCGGTATGAGGGCTTTCGCTGCGTTCAGTCACATCCCAGGTCCCTGAACCCTACACGATATAAACGAGTAGGTCATTGGGAATTACACATGCATCTATGTATGTATGTAAGTAAGTAAGTATGTATATATATATATGTACATACATATACATATATATATATATATGCATCTTTTGATGTATGCGTTGTTTTCAGGGCGTTTCTGGGCCAATCTGCTAAAGTTTAGAGGGGTTTGGAGTTATAAGGGTTAAGGGTTACGCAGATGAACCCTAAACCCTAAACCCTAAACCCTAAACCGCCGACTGAGAGGTGAAGTCGCTGGCCTCCTTCTACCAGCAGCTGTCGTACTGCATGGCGCAATACGTTGAGAAGGACCCCTGATACCCAAGGTTTAGGGTTTAGGGTTTAGGGTTCAGGGTTTAGGATTTAGGTAGGGCTGCTGCGCGCCATGCGGAGTTCTGGGACGCCCAATCCCCCGAACGCCAAGAACAAGCAAGTTACAATACTCACCTGCTACAGTAGCATAGCATTCCGCTTTCTTCGGCAGAAAACCGCAGACCCTAAACCCTCAACCCTAAACCCTGTACCCGAAACCTGAAACCAAACCCCCGAAGCCTGTTGAGACACCCAGACAACCCTCAACCCTAAGACCAGGTTTAGGGTGTTTTTCGGGCGAGCATGTCAGGACGTTGGTCCACGTCGGCGTTCCAGCAGAGTTGACCTTTCTGAATAGCAATACATACGACATGAATATACTGATGAGGGTATAGAGGTTTTAGGGTTTAGAGCAGAAGCTTAACGCGTCTAAGCCCGTGGCCCGGTACCCTAATACCCTAATGCCCTGAAGCGCAGCCTCCCGCTCGCGGCCAGGATCCGCGCCTGGCCTACGACATCATCACGTCCATGCTGCGCTACTGGCCCGCGCGGGCCCCAGAAGTCATTCCCACCCCCCCCCCCCCCCCCCCCCCATCCCGCAAGAACCCTAAACCCCAGGCATCCCCACGCATTAAAGCCTTAAGCCCTAAGCCTGAAATATACTGAAATATAATAAGCCTAAATCCTGAACCCTGACTTCACTCCCTCATCGTAAGCTTTGTATAAGAACCGGCAAGCTGGGCCCCAAACCCTGAACCCTATAAACTCTGAGCCCTATACCCTTGCAAGCTGCAGGTGTCCATCACCTCCAAGCAGGTGTTGTTCCTCAACGAGCTTGAGGCCGAGCATGCTTGGGGGTTAGGGTGTTCAGGGTTTAGGGCTTGGGGTTTAGGGTTTAGGGTTTAGGGTTTAGGGTTTAGGGTTTAGGGTTTAGGGTTTAGGGTTTAGGGTTTAGGGTTTAGGGTTTAGGGTTTAGGGTTTTTAGGGATGCCCTTGAAGGCTTTGAGGGTTTCATCAGGATGTAGGGTCTAGGCTTAGGGCGTGATTCGGTTTAGGGTTTAGGGTTTGATTTTGTTGGAGTGTGGACTGGTTTAAGGTGCCGGGGGTGGCGATTGCTAGATTTGGCCGGCTTCATGAGCAAGTCCGCCTCTTCGTGTTCTTGATGTTGGTCCCCATCCTGAGACCGACCCGATGTTGAGTTTCAAAACTTTTCAGGGTTCAGCTCAGTTCTTAACCCTCAACCCTCAACCCTAAACCCTATACCCGAACTCCTAACCCTAAACCCTAAACCCTACACCCTAAACCCTAAACCCTAAACCCTAAACCCTAAACCCTGAACCCTGAACCCTAAACCCTAAACCCTAAATCCCAACCCTAAACCCCATAAGCCTGGCAAGAAGGTGGAGTTCAGAGGTCTGAAAGGCCACATAAGTCCTTACGTACTATTTGCTGAAGAACCCCAACAAGAATAATATAACACATAGTTTTTAGGGGTGTACCCTCAAAAAATTAAGGAAGATGCTTCCTTATAAGGGCAATATAGGGATTATTGTTTCTTTTTTGGGTTTAGGGTTTAGGGTTTAGGGTTTAGGGTTTCTTAGGTTTTTTCGGCAAATAGTAGTAAACCCCTCCTTGAAGCCCCAAGCTTGGTCCCAACCCCCCGCGGAAGCCCCCCTAAAGGTTCAGGGTTCAGGGTTTAGGGGTTTAGGGTTTAGGGTTTAGGGTTTGGGGTTTAGGGTTCAGGGTTTTGGGTTTAGGGTTTAGGGGTTAGGGGTTAGGGTTTAGGGTTTTGGGTTTTGGGTTTTGGGGGTTTTCTCTTGAACCGTGCAGGAGACCCTTGAGCTGACGCAGCCACCAGAGTTCCACCGCATGCAGGACGCCTGAGCTTAGGACTTGCAGGTTTGAGGGTTGGTCTTATGGTGATCGATCAGGGCTTAGGGTTCAGGGTTATAGGGTTTAGGGTTCCGGGTTTACACTAGGATTTAGGGTTTTGGGTTTAGCGTGTTCAGGGTGCAAATTTCCCTGAACCCGAAGCCCTACACCTTCAACTGAATGTGTCAAGGTTCAGTGAGCCATGCCTTCCCCTTTCTGGCCGCATGATCCGAACCCAGATGTCTAAGCCTATCAGACCCTCTGCAAAGGTTTCTGAACACAATTATAGGGTTTGGGGTATGGTTCAGGGTACTAAGCTGAGGGGCTCTGTTTTCTAGACCATGACAGGGTTGAGGCTCACAAAACCTGAGTCATAGGAGGACATGGGCCTGAGCCAAACACGTCATTTGACGCTATCGGCATATTTCGCTTTAGGGTTGCATACTATAACAGACACTGAAAAAGAACCGGCCTGCCAGTTACGTCACCAGCACGGCTCCCATGCATTTCTTGTTGAAGCGCAGGAATACCTAACCGATCCTGAGACCCTAAACCCTAGACCCTAGACCCCTTCACCCTAAACCCTAAACCCTAGACCCTAGACCCTAAACCCTAAACCCTAAACCCTAAACCCTAGACCCTAAACCCTACACCCTAAACCCCCAAACCATGAACCCCGAGAACCGTGGGCACGTGGGGGGATCGGCCAGGGCTCGATTTGGATGCGGCCAGGGCTCAAGGGTATGGGAGTCTAGGGTTTGAGGGCTCCGGATATTTGGGTTGGGGGCTTGAGGTTTGGGGTTTAGGGTTTAAGGTTTAGGGTTAAGGGTTTAGGGTTTCGTGCTTCTTTCGGTGGAGTTTGGTGTTATCCGGGCTGAGGATATAAGCCGCCTGGCAGGACGTCCTCTTCCGCCGCCTTGCACTCTGCATCACCTGCCCCCACTTCCAGGCTGGCAGCAACCCTGAGCAGGGTTTAGGGTTTAGGGTTTAGGGTTAAGTCTAAACCCCCAAAATCCTAAAATCCTGCAGAAGCCCTGAACCCTAAAGCCCTTAGCACTAAGATGAGCCTTAAAGAGTTTGAGGTATAGGGGTACGGGGTTTAGGGATTAGGGTTTGAGGGCTATTGTTGCTTAGGGTTTGGGGAAGTGCAGCATTTTTTTGGCAGGATGCCGGGTCGGAATGTGGTAGGCTGATAGAGAGCCCTCTCTTGTGTGCAGGTGGCCGAGAGGACCCTGTTCTTCTGGAACACCGACACTAGGCCGCAGGAAGTTGACCAGTTCGAATGCAGAGTTTAGGGTTTAGGGTTTAGGGTTTCATGTCGGGCACCAGAAGGGACGAGGGTTTTGTTAATGCACGCCACAGCCTACCTTGCAACCCGAAATCTTAAACCCTAAACCCACCACCCTAAACCCTAAATCCCCAAAATCCTAAACCCCACCACAGCCCTAATGCACTATGCCACACACGCCTGCATGCTCGGGCCGGACTGAATCGGAAGTCTTCGGATCCTTAGTAGCCCAGTGGTACCCTTTACACACACTTTTTTTTAAACGGGGTTCCTCATAAAGTAACCAACCCAAAAAAGGGTGCCCTTATTAGAATGTGGTTACTGGGCTACTAAGGATCTATCTATAGACTCTAACTTAGGACCCCCCTTTGGGGTCACGACTACCAGGCGGCCCCTAATACTCAAAAACTCAGGGTAGTCACAAAGAGGACATAATGTTGAAAACTCACCAACGTTTCCCTTGTGATGTCTTGACTCGACACCCGAGCCCCCATACTACCCTACGCCGTAAATCCTGCACCCTAAGCGCTGACATATTGCGTGTACCTTGTAGGCACGATTGCCTCTAGGGTGTTAGGGTTTAGGGTTTAGGGTCCCTCAACAGCATCTCAGTCCTGAACCAGGGGTACCGAGCTCGCTGCGCTGAGGATTACATCGTCAAGCTCATCAACGCGAACCGGCAGGCCTTCCATCCATCCTACTTAGGGTTTAGGGTTTTAGGGTTTTTCAGGTTTAGGGTTTAGGGTTTAGGGCTACTAGGATCCAGAGTAGGCCCTTATTCGCCTTTTTTTGTGGGGGGGGGGGGGGGTTTAGGATCCCTTACAAGCCCCTTTAAACCAAAAGGTCGCCCTTTTTTGTTCCTAGGCTACTTTCGTGGTTCCTAGGCTACTCTTGGGTCTAGGTTGGAGGCCGGGGGCCCCAGCAGCGGTATTCCCCCTTCAGGAGTTAGCAGTTTCAGGTCTAGGGTTTGGGATTTAGGGTTTGGGGGGGTTTAGGGTTATAGGGTTTAGGGAGCTTAGGGAGTTTATGGGCATAGGGTTTAGGGTTTAGACCCTTACCAACCTAAAGCGGCAAGGGGACCCCGATTTCTCCTAGGAATCCCGAACACTGAATCTTGCTGAACCTAGGATAGATTGAAGCCTTGAAAACTCTAAAGCCTATACAGCCCCAGTTGCTAAACCGAGGGTTTGAGGTTTGCCGTTCGGATTTTGGGCCTCGCCGTTACTTGCAGGAGCTGTTCCCGATCATCATCGGTGCTCTCTACAAAAACTCGAAGCAGCACTGGAACAGCGCGGTCCGCGGCACAGATTCTCAGAATACTGCCCAAGATCGCAGGTCATGTAGGGTTTTAGGGTTTACGCTGTAGGAATTAGGTGCTGTTCCGGGCTTAAAGAAGCAAAAATGCACAAAGAAACCAATCATCCCCTGTCAGAAAGGATTCCACCTTAATGGGGCTCCATATGAAATCTAAGGTACTAGGAATGAGTAGGCCCCTGATCCCTTTCTTGGTAACGGAGTGAGTACACTTTACACCTTTTGGGATACTATAATCCCCTAAAAAACTGAAAGTGTGCACTTTTTGGGGGCTTATGAACTCAGCAGCTAAGCTTTTTGTAGGCTTTAGTACCCTTTTTATTCCTAAATTCCTCTTGGGTCTAGTGTATATTCCTTATTTAAGGAACAAAGGACGCAGCCTGTCCTGCTCCGATCGTCAGGTCCGCAGTCCTGCTGAGTTTAGGGTTGGCTGGGACTCATAACAGTAGCCCTGAACCCATTTTGGGTGTCAGGCTTTTTCTTCAGAAGCTCCTGAACCCTACGCCCGATGCGAAGCCTAGATATGAAGCTTGGAGCGTTCAGATAGTGGGAAGCCCAGATCTCAAACCCCAAGCCCCGTAGGCTGAACTTAGCCCCTAAGCAGTAGATGTCCCAAGCCCTAAACCCTAAACCCTAAACCCTAAACCCTAAACCCTAAACCCTAAACCCTAAACCCTAAACCCTAAACTCACCTGAAAAAGAACTTAATCCCTAAGACCCCTCTGAGGTTCATGGCTTAACCTTCAACGTGCTCAAGCTGCTTATGGAGGCCGTGGCTTTAGGGTTTAGGGTTTAGGGTTTAGGGTTTAGGGTTTAGGGTTTAGGGTTTAGGGCTACCAAGCAGCGGAACCTCACAAAAGGGAAGCGAGGTTCTGCATTCTCGTGTACATGGAGTAGGGTTTAGGGTTTAGGGTTTAGGGTTTAGGGTTTAGGGTTTAGGGGTTTTGGGTACAAGGATATTTTTTAGGTTGCTGTTGTTGCTAGCGGTCGCAAAGGCTTTGCGGCCTCAAGCATGTGAGAGCCGTCCGGCAAGCTTTCAGAGAGTTAGGGTTTAGGGTTCAGGGTTTAGGACCCTAAACCCTAAACCCAAAACCCTAAACCCTAAACCCTAAATACCCTAAATACCCTAAACCCTAAAACCCTAAATACCCTAAACCCTAAAGGGTTTAGCCGCTCAACCCCAACCCCAAGACCCGACACCCGGGACCCAGGCAGATCCTCAGCTCTTCGATGAGTGCTCGGCCAAACATCGTGCCGACGAGGAGGAGGAAGGGCGCCGTGAGCAGGACCTGAAAGGGGTTTAGGGTTTAGGGTTTAGGGTTTAGGGTTTAGGGGTTTAGGGTTTAGGATTTAGGGTTTAGGGTTTGGGTTTAGGGTTTCGGGTTTAGGGTTCAGGGTTTAGGGCTTAGGGTGTGAGGGATTACAAACGAGCGCGTGGGTCTCGTATTTGGGTCCTAGATATAGTACCTCACCCTAAGCCCTAAACCCTGCAACTTAAACCCCCCAAAAAGGGACTCCCTAAACCCTAAACCCTGAACCCCTCGAACTTAGAGAACTACCCACGTGTGCACTCAGGTTTTGAGTTGACCAAGCCCTCATGCTACAGACCTTCACTATATGGAGTTTAGGGTTTAGCGTTTGAATTGACAAAGTTGCCCTTCCGCCTGCTAAACCCTAAACCCTAAACCCTATTCCAGCACCCACAACCAAACCCCACTTAAACCCCAAACCCTGTTAAAGGCTTCTTTTTTGCATCATGGAGCCTATAGGCCCCATAAACCAAAAACCTAGATCCTGAGAACCACAACAAGCACTTCAAAGCCCGAACCACCGATCACACGCTCTAGACCCTTCAATCGCTTGCAAAAACCCATAAACCTCAACCCCTAACCCTAAATCTCTATCCCCCTAAGCCATGGCCTCTTTTTAAACCCTAAACCCCATAAACCCTAAACCCTAAGCACTAAACCCCCAACCCCCTAAACCCTAAGCCCTAAACCCCCTAAACCCCCTAAACCCCTTAAACACCCGAAACCCTTCAAGCTGAAGGCCTCAGGGTTCTGGGTGCCTCTTGCTTGGCAGGAGCGAACACGAAAGTGGCAAGTTCTACAGGAGATGCATGACGCGAAGGCGAAGGTCTAGTCGGGTTTAGGGTTTAGGGTTTAGGGTCCTTGGTTGGGGTTTGTAGGATATGGTGTTGGGGTGACCCAAGACCTTGCGTTTGCACACTCTGAAGAGCAAACCAAAGGAAAGCCTGCCCCTACCAGGTAGGGGGAGGGGATTGAAACGTCGGGGGGCGGGGGCCCGACTTTCAAGAACTGCTGGAAGAGTCCGTTATCAAGCATCAACCCTAAACCCTAAACCCTAAACCCTAAACCCTAAACCCTAAACCCTAAACCCTAAACCCTAAACCCTAAACCCTAAACCCATGTCCATTGTCATTGATAGCCTTGCACACCTCGTTCAGTCGGGTGCCGCAGTCTGTTGCTACATTGGCACTAAGCTGTCAAGGGCGGTGTTTTCACAGCACGCTGCACAGACAGGCTTGTGCGTAAATATCTTGCCCATCTACCGGCGAAGTGCCAGCAAGATTTGGCCCTGTGCATAAATTAGGGCCCTTTTTCCGGATGGGGCCTCAAGCTGTGGGAGCAGTATTCAGGTAATTAGCATAGCAAGCTAACCGACATAGAAGCGACATGCAAATTTGAGCAGAGGGTGGTCTTCACAGCCGAAATCTTTGAATTAGCGACGCGGCATTCGCGGAATGCATCCGAAGCCTTAGATGTTCTGGACTGACTCCAATCCATCGAGAACATGAGAGCGCTTGGAGGTCGAGTTCTGGGACTTCCTTAAAGTAAAACCCCCCCCCAAAAGTTGGAGACCTTGTTAAGGACACATTGTGCTGGGATTCCCTATACCCCTAAACCCTAAACCCTAAACCCTAAACTCTTAGGGATTTGCGGCTATTGAGTTTCCAACTTTTGGGCTTCCACTATAGAGGCTTCGGCTCTGGAGATGAGACGCAGGGTTTAGGGTTTAGGGTTTAGGGTGTAGGGTGTAGGGTTTAGGGTTTAGGGTTTAGGGTTGTGGTAGAGTTGTGGGTTGCCAGCAATCCCGAAGCCTTGCTGCCGCGGCTGTTTGGGCTTCAGAAGAGATTGGAAAGGCCGTTTGGCGCCGCCAGGGCTTTTTGTTAGTCATAGTGTTTGGGGTGTGAGGTTGACATATTCCTAGCCTGCATTAGCTCTTTGCTATCTTCTGGGCGAGTTCTTCTCTGTGCAGAAACACCTGCATGTGGAGCAACTTGCTCTGATCACTACGCCAGAGGCCCAGTTTCTCTTCGAGGTCTTTGTCATCCAATCCCTAAACCCTAATCCCTAAACCCGAAACCCGAAACCCTAAACCCTAAACCCTCCCCCAAACTAGGCAGTCCTCGACAGTACGGTCCCTTCCGGGGTCAGGGTTTAGCGTCTCGGGTTTAGGCCCCAAATGTGACACTTCAGAGAATTTCCCTACATACTCAAGCCCAAGACGCGTCGAGAGCTGCCTCCTCTGGGTTTAGGGTTTAGGGTTTAGGGTTTAGGGTTTAGGGTTTAGGGTTTAGGGTTTAGGGTTAGGGTTTAGGGTTGGTTCGGGTCAGCTCCCTGTAAATAGCTCAAAGTTTAGCTAGGGCTGAGGCTCCCCAAAACCCGTGAACACCTCCAAGCTTCCCTAAGTCCTGTCATCTCAGAAGCCGAAGCTCCGTATTCCCACGAACCCCCCTGGAGCTCCTACACCCCACACCCTACACCATACAAAACTCGCACCCTACACCCTGCACCCTAAATCCTAAACCCTAAACCCTGAAACCTAAACCTTATACCTTAACCCTAAACCCTAAACCGTAAACCCTAAACCCCAAACCCTAAACCCTAAACCCTACACCCTACACCCTAAACCCAAAGCCTCCAGCCAGGTCTCAATACCAGGGCCATGAAGCTGATCCAAACGGTAAAGCGCCGAATGGGCCTGGGGCCCCCAGATTGGGGACCTTTTTTGGGGGCTGTGGGGTTAGGGTTTAGGGTTTAGGGCTTAGGTTTAGGGTTTAGGGTTTAGGGTTTGGGGTTCAGCTTTTGGGGTATTGTAGGGTTTGGGGTTGACGCGGACTTGGAGCTAATCCCTTCCATAGACGTGAAACCGCTGATGTTTCTATACAGTCAGCACATGAGATGAACCATCTCCTTAGTAGCTGGTACCCTTTACCCTTTTTTTGGCTCAGGGTTCCCTTATAAACTAACCCCAAAAAAGGGGTGCCCTTGTTATAATATGGCTACTGGACTGCCAAGTCTCTCAAGCTAGGAGATGATGTCATGAAGCATTTGCACAATACTCTTCTAGAACCCTCAGCCATGTCTTCATCTCTTGCTGAGACAGCTGCGAGGGATTCTGGGAGATTCTGGGCACTTTCGAGGGAACCCTCGAAATTTTTCGAAACTTACAGAGAAAGGTGAACCCAGCATGGCAAAGCCGGCACTCACTCGCGACACGCAGCTGACATGAGGATCTTTGGTGACACCAAGCTCAAAGTAGTGGCTGGCAGCAAGAATGTTCTTCGCATTTGCAGCAACTGATTGCGCATTGCAACAAATCTGGGTTTAGCATGAAATCGCGGCAGCAAAACAGCACGAATGTGCTCAGCAGACATTTTGTGCCAACACATCTAACAGTTAGCATATTGGTTCTTTCCATGGCAGTATGGTCCCAGGGCAACAGGCCGCGTTTCTGTGTGATCGGATTCAGCCAAGTTCGGTCAAAGTCTTTGGCGAAGCCCAATGACCTATGAAAACTCAGTAAAACTGAAAAGGTTGTACCCCAACGCCAGATTTTGCTCTGCAGCATGCGCAGCTTGGATCCGAGCACGTGCTTCACTGATCTACCAAACCGGCCATCAGCGAAACAGAACTCTTGTGATTGCAAGGTGTTAAATTGGCAAATTTAAACAGTAGATGTGCCTTCGTGGAAGTAAGTGATGTGATTCGCAACCTAAACTCCCTAAAGCTCCAATCCCCAGCCCCTAAACCCTAAACCCCGAACCTCTAAGGCAACGATGACAAGAAGAGCTCTACCACCCGCACCGGTGCCACCGGCAGCGGCGGAAGCACCTCCGCCGAAGATAGGTTTAGGGTTCAGGGTTTAGGGTTTAGGGTTTAGGGTGTAGAGTTTAGGGTTTAGGGTTTAGGGGTTTAGGGTTTTGGGTTGGGCCAGAAGGCGTTGTCAGGTGTAGGGTTTTGGGCTAAGACTCTGACAACCCTTGACAACCCTTAAACCCCGCCAACCTCAAAGCCACTCCAGCCTTGGGGCCTTATGTCTCGAGGGTGGAGCGGGCAGGGTGGAGCGGGGGGAGAGGGTGGGGGGGGGGGGGAGGATGGGGGGGGGGGGGGGGGTTCGTTCGGCGGTTACGGGAAGGAGGCTTGTGGCTGCTGGGGTCGGACGACCCCCGCAAGTCACGATATACTGTTCCATCAACCCTAAACCCTCAGGGCGTAAGGGTTTGTGGTTTAGGAACTAGGCGTTCAAGTTTGGGACCAGAGCTTTCGTCTTTGGTTGCAACTTATCCGGTTCAGGGTTTAAAGTTTGGCCCTCGAATCCCAGGAAGAGTACATGTTTCGGCCAACCCTCCGTCTTCCACGGTCGCTATGCCGCAGGCAACAGCAGTGGAAGTGGCGGCGATCTCGCCGCCAAAAGCAAGGCAGATGCCGGGTTTGCGGTTTGGGTTTAGGGTTTGGGGTTTAGGGTTTGGGGTTTAGGGTTTAGGGTTTGTGGGGGGAGCCTCCACACCCTGAGACCAACAAGTTTCTGCACTCCTGAGCCAAACAAGCTTAATCCTCCTGCCGGCACTCCAAACGCTAAAGTCTGGGCCCTAAACCCTAAATCCCAAACCCTAAACCCTGAACCCTAAACCTAAACCCCAAGCCCTAAACCCTAAACCCCAAGCCCTAAACCCTTGACCCCAAACCTTGAACCCTGAACCCTAAACCCTAAACCCCAAGCCCTAAACCCCAAACCCCAAACCCTAAACCCCAAACCCTAAACCCTAACCCTAAACCCCAAACCCTAAACTCCAAACCCTCTTTTGATTCCTCGGGGCGTTGCTGCAGGCCACACCGACCAATTCGAATGGAAGCCGGGCTGCCACCGCAAAGCCTGCGACAGAGCTGCGGCCTTGAGGGTTTAGGGTTTAGGGTTTTGGGTTTAGGGTTTAGGGCCGCGGCCTTGAGGAGCTGGATAGGGTTTGGGGTTTGGGGTTTTGGGTTTAGGATTTATGTTTTGGGGTTTAGGTTTTAGTTTTTTTGGGTTTGGGGTTTAGGATTTAGATACAGAGTTTGCGGTTTAGGGTTTTGGGTTTAGGATTTCGGGTTTGGGGTTTAGGGTTTGGGGTTTAGTTTTTTTTGGGTTTGGGATTTGGGGTTTAGGGTTTGGGGTTAAGGTTTTTTTGGGTTTGGGATTTGGGGTTTAGGCTTTGGGGTTTAGGCTTTGGGGTTTGGGGTTTAGGGTTTAAGGTTTAGAGTTTGGGGCCGTTTGGGGAGTAGGGTTTAAGGAAGTCTAGACCTTAAGAATCAAGACGTCCTCAGAATGAAATATGTACAAGGTGTAGTCTCATAAGTTGAGGAGTGTTGGGCTCTCTGGATTTTGGTGGACTTCCGCCCCTGCTTCACTGTGGCCAAAGTAGACAACAGCCTCAACCCTAAACGCTCAACCCCAGGCCCTACACACCCAGCCCCAAGCCCTAAACCCTGAACCCTGAACCCTGAACCCTCAACCCTGAACCCTCAACCCTGAACCCTAAACCCTAAACCCTGAACCCTGAACCCTGAACCCCAAACTGCAACATCCCGCGCTGCCTCGCCCGCGCATTTGCCAAAGCGGGCACAGGTCGTCCAACTTTGCAGCCATCCCGAAGCTTCGCGAGGCAGGGTTTCCGCGTTTAGGGTTTGGAGTTTGGGGTTTAGGGTTTGGGGTTGAGGGTTTAGGGTTTAGGGTTTAGGTTTAGGGTTTAGGGTTTAGGTTTAGGGTTTAGGGTCTAGGGTTTAGGGTTTAGGGTTTCAAGTGGCCGGCCTCTTGTTGCCAGGGCCAGGCTCATGACATCTTGAGGCAAGAGATCCTTGAATTTCCAGGGCTTGGCCTCTTGGCTTTTGGGGGTGGGTCAACCCTAAACCCTAAACCCTTTTCCCTAAACCCTAGCCCTAAACCCTAAACCCTACAGTAAACCCTAGCCGAGCCCTGAACCCTGAACCCCAAAACCCTAAACCCTAAACCCTAAGCCCTAAACTGACCGGTAACGGCCAACATGGCCTTCCGACCGTAGGGTGGGGAAGGAACCCAGCAGGCCCCAGAACCCGAAGCAGCCCCAAGCCCGAGACCCTAAACCCAAGCCCTAAACCCTAAACCCTAAACCCGAAACCCTGAACCCAAAGTCCTCGCAGGCCCCACCCCAGGAGCGCACGGACTTGTTCCGCAAGAAGATGGAGGCCCCCAAGGGTGTCCACTCTGGGAGGTTTAGGGTTTAGGGTTTGGGGTTTGGGGTGTCGGTTTTCGGGTTTGGGGTTTGGGGTTTGGGGTGTAGGTTCAGGGTTAAACCCGAAACCCTATAGACCCTGTAGACCCCTAGTATAGTCCCCCAAATAGTAGGATTCCCTTATAGTAAGGACCCCAATAAGGTACCCCCAAGCCCTCACCCTAAACCCTAAACCCTGAACCCTAAACCCTAACCCTAAACCAAGGATCCCAATACGGTACCCCTCATTTCGGAAAACCCTATTTGGGGAAAGTGCCCCAAACCCTAAACCCTAAACCCTAAGCCCTAAACCCTAAACCCCACAATGCACAGGTCTGCTCCGTGGTTTTTGATTTCCACAACGACAACAACCAAAAGGCAGCGGTTTGGGCTTGGGTTCGGTTTAGGGTTTTGGGTTTTGGGTTTAGGGTGCAGGGTTTAGGGTTTCGGGTTCAGGGTTTAGGGATATTTGGGGTTCAGGGCTTAGGGTTTCGGGTTTGGGGTGTAGTGTTTAGGGCTTGGGGCTTTGGCCTTCGGTTTCAGTAAGGGTCGTTGCCACCCTGCCACCCTATACCGCAAACCTTAAGCCCTAAATCCCTAGAGGCCCTAGACCTTACCAGGATGCTCTCTTGTGCCCTCTAGCCCTTTTCTGGGGTTGAACCCCTAAACCCTAAACCCTAAACCCTAAACCCTAAACCCTAAACCCTAAACCCTAATAAGCCGTTTTGAAACCCTCAACCTCAGACCCTAAAGGCTCTAAGCAGCCCTGAGCCTTCAGCCCCCAGCCCTCTTTGAACCCTGAGATCCCTGTGTTTAGGGTTTGGGGTTTAGGGTTTAGGGTTTAGGGTTTAGGGTTTAGGCTTCAGGGTTCATGGTTTAGGGGGTGGGGTTTCGGATTTGAACTGCAAACCCCTAAGCCCTATAAGCTCTATGCCCGGAGATAGAGAGCTTCAATTTTGCCTATAAGGGTGTGTGTGTGTGTGTGTGTGTGTGGGTGGGTGGGTGGGTGGGTGGGTGGGTGGGGTGGCGTGTGCGCGGTGCGCGTGCGCGTGCGCGCGTGCGCGTGCGCGCGTGCGCGCGTGTGCGCGTGTGCGCGTGTGCGCGTGTGCGCGTGTGGCTGTGTGTCTGTGCGTCTGTGTGTCTGTGTGTCTGTGTGTCTGTGTGTCTGTGTGTCTGTGTGTGTGTGTGGGGGGGAGGGGGGGGGGTTAGGGTTAGGGTTTAGGGTTTAGGGTTTAGGGTTTTAGGGTTTAGGGTTTAGTTTAGGTGCTTCGGGCTCAGTATGTTCGACTCTTCGACCCCTTTGAAAAGACGCATGGGGGCACGCGAGCGCACCTCTCCACGACCCGCTCAAAGTTCCAGGTCCGGACGGCTTCTAAGCCCCCCCAGGCCCAGAAGCACCGCACTCCCTACAATTTCCCCCCCCCCCCTTCCCCCCAAAAAAAACTCTTTACTCGGCAGGCCCTTGGGACATGTTTGATTTTCTCTTCTTGAGTTTCCCTAAGGGTCCATGTACCTAATTATTATGTACTTGGGCCTTAAAGTAGCTCCTATACAGGGACTTTAGGGCCCAAGTATATAATGAGGTACATGGACCCTTAGGGTTAAGAGGATCATACTCAGGAATATTTTTTCAGAGGGTTTCAAGGGCCATCCTAGTTTTAAGTGAGCCCAGCTTCTGAGAGGTGCCCTAGGCACCAAGGGCCTAAACCCTGCTACCCCTAAACCCTAAACCCTAAACCCGCCAGGAGAAAGAGGCCAAGCGCCAGACACTCTTGGAGATTGTGGAGTGCCGCCAACATTTCGGAAGCTGCACGCGACCCTAAACCCTAAACCCTAAACCCTAAACCCTAAACCCTAAACCCTAAACCCTTAAGCTTGGTAAGGGTTTCAAAATGTCAGATCTCGTGTTCCCTGATAGGGGCAGGGTCGTCTCTTCCTAAACCCTAAACCCTCAACCCTAAACCCTAAACCCTAAACCTTAAACCCTAAACCAGGCGAACGCTTTACTTTTTCGAAAGAAGCTTCGGGCACGTGGCTAGGAAGGGGACCATGTTATCATGTTCTCCCTGGTTTACAGGAGTGTGCTGCGGCGTGCCCAGATCTTCCGAGTCGCTTGTGTCGTCTAGTCAGGGAAAACCTTACACCTAGAAGGGTTCGTTGCGGCTACTGCTGCGGCTGCTGCTACTGCTACTGCTACTGCTGCTGCTGCTGCTGCTGCTGCCTGCTCCTGCTACTGCTACTACTACCACTACCACTGCCACCATTGTTGCTAGTACTGCGACTACTACTGCTACTACGGTTTTTTACGGTTTAAAGGTCTACTTCTGAAGTGATGCTATGTGGAAGATCTGGGTAGGTACGTCAACAATACCCGCAACTGCTTCAACGAAGCCCTCATGCACCTTGAATGGATCTCTGTGTCTCAAGGGTGTTTGGTCTTCGAAGGGCTTCCAGAGCTTGGGGTTCAGGGTTTGGGGGTTTGGGGTTAGGGCGTCGGGTTTTGGGTCGGTTTAGTGATCTCGAACTCCACAGTAAACCTTATACAAAGGCTCAAGGTTCTGAAACTCGACCCTAAGCCTTCCAGAATTTCTTCAGGTTAGGGTTTTGGGTTTAGGGTTTTGGGTTTTGGGTTTAGGGTTTCGGGTTTCGGGTTTGGGGTTTAGGGTTTAGGGTTTAGGGTTTAGGGTTTAGGGTAGGGAGGACTGCGACCCCCCCCCCCCGCCTCTCCTCCGACCCCCCCCCCCCCCCCCCCCCCCCCCCCCTCCGCGACCCTCCGGCTCCCCTCACCCAAAACAAAATCAGCATCGACATGGAGGGGATTCACTAAACCTCTGAAGCCCTAAACCCCCTAAAGACCTAAAACCCCTAAAGCCCTAGACCATGAACCCTTCCCCCTAAACCCTTAGCCCTGAAGCCTTTAAACCCCCGAAAGACCGAAGACCCCCTGGCCCTGAACCCTAAACCCCAAACGCCCTTACACCCTAAACGCCCTTAAACCCTAACCCTAAACCCTAAACCCTAAACCCTAAACCCTAAACCCTAAACCCTAAACCCTAAACCCTAAACCCTAAACCCCCTAAACCCTAAACCCCCTAAACCCTAAACCCCCTAAACCTCCTAAACCCTAAAGCCTTCTAAGCCCTCCAAGGCAAGATGTTGTCAGCATGGCCCGGCCCTCGGCCCTCTGTGGTATCCTACACTCCCGAGACCCCAGAAACCTGGGTTTAGGGTTTAGGGTTTAGGGTTTAGGGTTTAGGGTTCAGGGTTCAGGGTTCAGGGTTCGGGCTTGGCTTTCTTCTGGCTGGCTCTTAGGACCTTGACCCTTTGGGTATTTGTAGAAACTACAAATTAGGAGCCTAGAAGTTAAACTTTCAGGAGAGGTTCAGAAGTCAGCCAAGCGGTACCTTTTCGGGGCTTTAGGGCTTTAGGGCTGTAGGGTTTGGGGCTTTAGGGCTTAGGGTTTAGGGTAGCCCAGTGCTAGCCTGTCGCCCCTTTTTTGGTTCAAGGTTCCCTTGTAAAGTAGCCAACCCAACAAAGACTGCCCTTATTTTGTTATGGTTTCTGGGCTACGAAGCACATGAGCCCCTGGCGTCGAGAGGCACCACTTATTCCAAAGTGAGAACTCAAGTTTTCCTACATCCTTAGGCGCATGGTGGCTACTTAGTCGACTTAGTCCAGGGCATTCTGCAAATTCTTCGGGTCGTTTCATGGTCCCCGAGTATGGGCCCCTGAAAAGGGGACCCCTTACATACCCCTTATATTACCCTACACAACCCAAGGGCCTATACTTCAGAACCCTTGAAAGGAAGTAAGGGACCACATTAAGGAACCATGAAACTGCCCTTGGATTGACCCTAAACCCTATAAAACCCTATAAAACCCTATAAATCCCTATACATCCCCATATAAAACAACTATAGAACCCTGTAAAGCCCTCTAAAACCCTATAAAGCACTATAGAACCATTAGATGAACGACCACGCAGGTCGGAGCGAACATCTTCCGAGCCCTGCAGACACGCAACAAGGTGGGTTGGAATCTAGCCGTCCAGGGGTGAGAAGGCTTTGGGTAGGGTTTTAGGGTTTAGGGTTTAGGGTTTAGAGTTTAGGGAGGGGCTTCGGGGGTCTAGGGGCACGTAGTTTAGGGTTGAGGGCCTGTTTAGGGTTTGGGTTCTATTTGAAGGGGGTTTGGGGGGGTTCAGTGTTTGGGCTTATTTTGTGAGTCTTGGAGTTGAGTTGCGCAGGTCTTTTGGTTTGAGGCTGTTGAGGCTCTGGATGTGCGACTTGGGTACGGCGGGGGGGGGTTCGAGGATTGTGCTTAGTCAAGGCCAAAATTGGGGTTCTTTTTCGTCTTAGTCGTGTGGATCATGCCCGCCACCATGGGAGTCCGTGCGCAGAACGCTGCACGCGGAGACTGACTCGTGCTGCTCTAAGCCCTAGAAATCCTAGAACACAGCTAGGGAACATAGGGGTCGGAGGAATGTCTAACAGGATTGCCTTATGGTCCCTTTATGATTCTACTAGAATAACCCCCCCCAAAAGCCCTAATTATTCTAATGTTCAGGCCCCTATCGTAACGTGTTTCGGGAGAGGTCTTACAGGAGGCGGATGTGAGGGTGGAAAGGTATCGATTCGGTGGTTCTCAGGGGCCGAAGACACTCCTCCACAGCGTTCAGGATTGAGGGTTTAGGGTTTAGAAATTATGTCTTGACCCTGAACCCCAGAAGAAAAAATCAATACAGGAAATGCTCCTGAAACAGACCGTTTCTTGAGCCCGACTGAGCGGCGTCTGGCTGACACTGCGAACTCAAGTGACCACAGACTATGTTTTGAAAGAAGTCTTTAGGGTCTGGTGGAGGTTAGGGTTGAAGGTGTGGAGTTTAGGGTAGCGTTTTGGTTTCCGGGCTCGACAGATATCAGCATGAAAACTAACTAGAAGGCGTGCGCTGAATTGTCACAGAAGCCTTTGCACGAATCCCTAAACCCTAAACCCCAAACCCTGAGCCCTAAACCCCAAACCCTAAACCCTAAACCCCAAACCCTTAACCCTAAACTTTAAATCCTAAACCCTAAACCCTAAACCCCAAACCCCAAACCCCAAACCCTAAACCCCAAACCCTAAACCCCAAACCCTAAACCCTAAACCCCAAACCCCAAACCCCAGCTCAGCCAGGACCCTCTGGCATTCTCCGACCCCGAGGATGCCCGGAGCCCCAGAGGAAGCGCCTCCGAAGGCTTCCTTAGGGTTTAGGGTTTAGGGTTTAGGGTTTAGGGTTTAGGGTTTGGGGTTTGGGGTTTGGGGTTTGGGGTTTGGGGTTTGGGTTTAGGGCCAGGGTTTAGGGTTTAGGGTCTAGGGTTCAGGGTTTAGGGGTTTCTGATGTGGGCTTCTTTGGGGGGTGTCGGGGTTTTGGGTAGATCTGAGAAGCACTGTCCTAGTCACCGCTGATCCGTTTCAGGCCCAGTGCCACGGAGGCAAACTCGGTTTGAGACTTGAAAGCTTAACTTTAAAGCCCTAAACCAGACTTTTTCATTCCGGGGACAGTGCCACCTGAGCCCGAAGCCTGCCCAGCGTTGCTGGTTGTAGGGTTTGGGGTTTAGGGTTTGGGATTTAGGGTTTAGGGTTTGGGGTTTAGGGTTTAGGGTTTGGGGTTTAGGGTTTGGGGTTTAGGGTTTGGGGTTTAGGGTTTGGGGTTTAGGGTTTAGGGTTTAGGGCTTGGGGACTTGGGGGCTTCAGCTGCTTTCAGGCTTGAGGTTTCCTTACTGGAAGCACGGCCTCACCCAAACCCGAGATAAACCCTAAACCCTAAACCCTAAACCCTAAACCCTAAACCCTAAACCCTAAACCCTAAACCCTAAACCCTAAACCCTAAACCCTAAACCCTAAACCCTAAACCCTAAACCCTAAACCCTAGACTTCGCCAAAGATCCGAGGATGAACCCTCTCTGGAACGGGCCTGGCCCCATTTGCGCGCTGCTCAGCACGGGTTCAGGGAGTCTTGGGATGTAGGGTCTCAGGGTTTTACAGTGTTTCACAGGGTTTCATAGGGTTCTATAGGGTTTTATACGGCTTTATAGGGCTTCATGGGGTTTTAGAGGGTTTTATAGGGTTTTTTTAGGGTTTTCTTGAGGGGTTTATAGGGGTTTTTCAGGGTGTTTTGGGTTTTGTTTTGGGTTTTCAAGGGTTCTTTGGGGTTTCGGGTCAGGTGCTAGAGCCTGAAGATCGGTGTTCCTCTGACTGAAGATAAGGTTTGAGGTCCAGAAAAAACCTCAACTTTCGGGGGCCTTCAGGGGGCTTAGGGTTTAGGGTTTAGGGTTTAGGGTTTAATGTTGACTTCACATTACCAGTTCCTGCTACAATTATAAAATCCCGGGGCCGGAACACAATAATCTCGCCCCCCACAATGATAAAAAAAACGCCCTTTTTTTTAGGGAGATGTTCCAGCTTGCTTAAACTTATAAGTACTACTACATTTCCTAATACTAAAACGAAAAGAAAAGATTTAGGCGAATGCAATTGAGGAGGCCCCTGGCCGAAAAGATTGATCAACCCGGGGGGGGGGATTTATTAATGCGAAGTCAACATTAGGGTTTAGGGTTTAGGGTTTAGGGTTTAGGGTTTAGGGTTTAGGGTTTAGGGTTTAGGGTTTAGGGGGGCACTGAGGGCATGTGAATTCGAGGCGTGGGAGCCCCGCTTCAGGGGACTGTGCGTTGGACCTCTAAGGTGGTCCTCTTGGGTTTGGGGACCCTTTTGTGCAGATTTTGAAGGTGATACAAGGGCCTTATTTAGGGTTTAGGGTTTAGGGTTAGGAGCATATTCAGGGAAACCTTTAGGGGCAAAAAGCCTTAGGGTTGCGAGTCGTAACCCCTTGGCCCACAGGATTCGGGGCTCCTTGTTGTTGCGGTCGGCTTCGGGGTTTAGGCTTCCTGCGTTAGGGTTTAGGGTTTAGGGTTTAGGGTTTAATGTTTAGGGTTTAGGGTTTAGGGTAACAAGAGCTTCAGGGCTTTCGGGCTTCTTAGGAGTTCGGTTTTGGGCATAGGGCCTTCGAGAATTTCTGCGGGCGTTGCGCGAGATTTTTGGCCAAGCCTAAATTTCCTAAACGTCCAACCTAAATCGCAAAGGCTACTTCCTTGTGAGCACCCAAGATGGCTTATTTGAAAAGCCAGTGCTTCCCATACTATACAATGGGAAGCCAAACACGACCTTTCGGATGAGGTCGGGCTCCGCTCAACCAACCTAGTGGATGCAGCACGGCTTCACGCTGAGCGCCAAACTATCCACGGGTCAGCCAGGATCTTCCTACCAGAGGAGGAAGGTGATCTTGGAGCAGAGGGGGAGGAGGAAGGTGATGTTAAGCACAAGCAGAGCAGGAAGCCCCAAAACCCTAAATCTCCAAACCTTACACCCCTAATCCCTGCGCGCTAAACTGTCGGTCAGGTACAGGCTCGGGAACTACGGAGTTGAGGGCGTGCGCTTTAGGCCCTACATAGGGTTCAAGGTTTTAGGGTCCCGGCCGTAAAACATGGCTTGCGGTTTTGGGTTTGGGGTTTGGGGTTTAGGGTTTAGGGTTCAGGGTTTAGGGTTTAGGCCCTATTGGTTTGGGGCCTTCATGGGGTTTGGGCCCTCCAGGGCTCGCCCGTTGACTGAGCCTAACCCCCAAACCTTAGACCCCTGACCCGGGTTTAGGGTTTAGGGTTTCGGGTTTAGGGTTTAGGGTTTAGGGTTTAGGGAACCCTTTGAACCTTAAGCCCCTAAACCCCTGAATCCTAATCCCTAGCCCCTACACCCTTCTACCCTTAACTATACCCTTAACCCCTAAACCCCTAAACCCCAAACTGGCCCCAAACCCCTGAACCCTCAAACCTCTAAACCCTGAACAGGCAGATCGTGTACGAGTTTTTCTTGCGCTTCGTCGTGTCAAACGACGTGGACCCAAAGATTGCCACTGCCTCGGTGATATGCCCCGTAGACCCTGAGCCTCTGAAACCCCTAAGCCCCTAAACCGCTAAACCCTACACCCTAAACCCGAGCCTGCTCATACTCCAAGAAGTACCCCAGAGCCGACCTCCCCTTCATTGCGGAAGATACCTTCAACCACATACCAGGGTTCTTTTCTACATCAAGGATATTTCCCCAAACCATATGTCAACACTAAGGGCGCCCGAGGGGCCCGGACCGTACGTTTTTTTTGGTTTAGGGTTTAGGGTTTAGGTTTTAGGGTTTAGGGTTTAGGGTTTAGGGTTTAGGGTTGCGGAGTCGAAGCCTGCTCACAGTTTGGGGCGAGAATCGCACTCTCGCCTAGGGACCTGTCGTGGCTGTTCTCGCCCTCCTCCAAGCTGTCATCGCTTTTGGACCCTAAACCCTAAACCCTAAACCCTAAACCCTAAACCCTAAACCCTAAACCCTAAACCCTAAACCCTAAACCCTAAACCCGCGAAACTGCGAGGGGGTTAGAGATTCTCAGGCTCGGTAGCCAAGCCTCCTGAGCCAGCCCTCTTCTACGTTTTGCTAGTAGAGTAAGGTACAATGCCCCTGCTCCAGACCTCTAGGTAAACCCCGAACCCAATGCAGGCCTACTTACTTCAAAATGTTCCCCCCTTGTTCGAACATGAGGGCTTGAATGGAGGAGGTACTATAGCTGAGGAACGACCTCCCCGTTTCGGGGGGTTTCAAGGGTTTTCGTGGTTTGGTGTTTGGCGGTCGGACACCTCCAGAAAGCCCCCTCAACTGAATGCAGTGCGGCTAAGTACACAGAGAGCCGAAGGTTGTTCACCTGTATAGTTTGCGGTCTACCACGACCATGAACGCCCCAAACCACTAAGCCCTAAGATCACTGAAACCGTTACAACCATACAAAACCATGAAGGCCATTAGCTCCATTAAACACTGAAACCACTAAACCCTCACACGCTCAAACCCTTAAAACCCTTAAAACCCTTAAACCCTGAACCCGAAACCCTGGAACCCTAAACCCCTTAAACCCTAAAACCTGTAACCCCAAACTAAAACCCAAAACCCTTAACCTCTAAAGCCCCAAACCCTCTCAGCCCTCGGATCTCTCCACCCCTGCCGCTTCAGGCCAAGCGCTTCGTCGATCAGAATTTTATGCTGAAGCTCTTGGAGCTTTTCGACTCTGAGGCAGGTAGGTTTGGGGTTCAGGGTTGAGGGTTGGGTTTAGAGTTTAGGATTTAGGGTTAGGGTTTAGGGTTTAGGGTTTATGCAGAACCACCCGCAGTAGAGCGGCAGCATCCACGCTTCGTTTTGTGAGGATCCGCGCGAGCGAGACTACTTGAAGACGATCCTGCACCGCATTTACGGCCGGAGAGCCGAGCTGGGAAGCAGGGTTTAGGGTTTAGGGTTTAGGGTTTAGGGTTTAGGGTTTAGGCAGGATGTCGGCTTTGGTTTACAGGATTTAGCCGGACAGTCTGCATCATTCCAAGCACGCTTCTATTCACCCCAAACCCTAAACCCTAAACCCTAAACCCTAAACCCTAAACCCTAAACCCCAAACCCCAAACCCCAAGCCTCTGTCTGCTGCAGGCAAATTCATGGCCTTGAGATCCTTCATCCGACGTGCCATTCAGCACGTCTTCTTCAAGGCCGTCTCAGCGATTTAGGGTTTGGGGTTTAGGGTTTAGGGTTTAGGGTATAGGGTTTAGGGTTTAGGGTTTAGAGTTCAGGGTTTAGGGTTTAGTGGTTCAAGTGCAGGCCATCAGGGGCAGGTTGTTCCTGCACCACCCTAAACCCTAAACCCTAAAAGGCAAAGGCCAAACAAACTTCAACCACAGCGCAGGTCATCTACGAATCTGAGACCCACAACGGTGTCGGGGAGCTGCTCGAGATCTTGGGCAGCATCATCAACGGCTACCCGGTCCGACAGTTTGACAGGGAATTAGATTTAGGGTTGGTTTAGGGTTACCTACACCCCCCCTGGTTCTTAGTAGGTTCATAGGGAATTAGGTTTAGGGTTGAGGGTTTAGGGTTATCTAGACCCCCTCCCCCTAAACCCTATAACCCTGTAATTCTAGACACTGACTGAAGCAAGCCCAACCCCGCGGACATCAACCCTAAGCCCTATACAGACCTTACTTGGAAGCTAGCTGGTTTGACTTCGTACTTCTACGTAATATCCCTAGAAACTCTACCCAAAACCCCCAGCCCAACTTCCTGCCCCTAAACCCTAAACCCTATACCCTAAACCCTAAACCGCAAAGAGCTTCCAAAGACTCCCAACCTGGCATAACATCAAGGGCTATGGCGTGCTGAATTCTGGCTGGTTCTTATGGGAGTGAGGGGATGAGGTACCCCATATGATCCCGTAAGGGGCATATATAGGGCCCGAATTCCCTCATTCCCTACCAAGAACCAGGGTTACAGGGTTTAGGGTCGAGGGTTGGAGGGTTTGGGGTTAGGGTTGCAGTGTTTAGGGTTTAGGGTTACAGGGTGTAGGGTTTAGGGTTACAGGGTTAGGGTCAAGGGTTTAGGGTTACAGGGTTCAGGGTTACAGGAGGTTTAGGGTTCCAATTTTAGGGTGCAGGGTTTAGGGTTTAGTGTGCAGGGTATCGGACCTCATGTTGGCCTTGGAGGTTTCAAGAGCTCTTCTTACGCTGAGCCCAAAAGCGCGCACCAACACCCCAGCATTCTGTATCATCATATTACACTACATCGTATGACATTACATAAGCCCTAAACCCTAAAACCCTAAAACCCTAAACCCTCACCCTAAACCCACCATTATTCTCGAGTCCAGTAGTTTATGAGCTCCTGTGCCCTGTAGGCACGGGACCAGGCCCAATCAGGCCTTTGGGGGTGTTTTGGAGTCTGAGGCTTTGCCCTTCCGCTGAAAGAAGAGCACAAAGACTTCCTGATCAAGGCTCTGATCCCACTTCACAAGGCGCGCAAGCACGTAAGTATAAATGAGTAGATATAACATGTGTATATGTATATATATATATATATATTCATATATATATATATATATCTCTCTCTCTCTATCTCTTCAAAGTGTGTAGACGCATATAAAGAAATGAGGGTTCAGGGCTTTTGGGTGCTGAGTGCTGTGGCCGCACAACATCGCAGAGTCAATGACCCTAAGCCTTGTCATCCTCGGCCCCCTCAACCCTGAACCCTGAACCTTCAACCCTAAACCCTAGACCCTCAACCCTAAACCCTGAACCTTCAACCCTAATTTTTTTTTTTTTTTTTTTTTGGGGGGGGGGTCTCTCGCCTCTCGTGGCACTTGTTTGTTTTTTAGGGAAGCTCTGAACGTTAACGCCTAAACCAGCTCTCTAAATTTGGGTCCTGTTTTTTTTTGGGGGGGGGGGGGGGGGGGTCCTGCGGGCACATGATGAGAAAGCATGCGGGCCACCCTCTAAACCCTAAACCCGAAACCCCAAACCCTAAACCCTAAGTCCAACTGAAGCTGTGACAAACCCCAAGTCCCACTTGGGCCTTGTCGGCCGCAAACCCTAAACCCTACCTGGAACCCTCTTTACCTACAGGTTTTATGGGTGATACCTACTACTCAAGGGTAGCTACAACTAAACTGTGGGTAAAGAGGGCCCACGGTATGCTGGGGGGTTCCTATAGTACGGGTTCTTGGATTTTCGGGGCAGGGGGGGGGACCCGTCTTTGTGGGACATGATCAGACTGGGAGGTGAAATCCTTGGCTTCCTTCTACCAGCAGCTGTCGTACTGCATGGCACAATACGTCGAGAAGGACTGCTTGGTGGTGTCTGGAACCCTAAACCCTAAACCCTAAACCCTAAACCCTAAACCCTAAACCCTAAACCCCAAACCCTAAACCCCAAACCCCAAACCCCAACCCTAAACCCTAAACCCTAAACCCTAAACCCTAAACCCTAAACGCGCGCCCCCCAAACGGTGCCTGGAGCCCTCTTTACCTGCAGTAAAATGGGTTATGCCTACTAATGAAGGGTAGTTACGACGAAACTGTAGGTAAATAGAGAGGTGGGCCCTGTGAGGCACGAATCCACCCTGGAACATGCGCGATTTAGGGCTCAGGGGTTTACCTGGGACCCTCCTTACCTACAGTTCAGTAGTACCTACCCTTGATTAGGGGGTATAAAACTGTAGGTAAAGAGCGTTCCAGGTAGAGGGACTCCCAAAACCCTAAACCCTAAACCCTAAACCCTTTTAAGATGCCGGCCCCGCATCCTCACCCACCTACATGCCCACGGTCACTCGCTCAGTCATAAACCCGAAACTGCACTAAGTCCTTGAATTGAGGACCCGCGGCTGGCCTATGACATCATCACCTCTATGTTGCGCTATTGGCCCGTTGGGGTCTCAGCACGGTGCAGACATCCACTGCTCTCAGGTCCGCAAGCCCCGGGCGCTGGAGTTTTGTAATGTTGGACCTGCTTTAATAAGTTACCCCCCCCCCCCCCCCCTCAACAGTCGCGACCCTGAATAAAAAAAGACCCCAAACAGTCGGGGGAGGTGGGGGGGGGGCAGAGAAATGAGCTCTCTTCTTAGTTTGGGATCTGGGAACTTGACTCAAAAACCATTTAAAAAACAGGCCCGGCCCGAAATCTTTTCATTATTGCGGACCCCCAAAACAGAGGGTCCAGATCCTGAATAGCCGGAAAACTTTTCATAATAGCGGCCCCCTAGAATGTTGCGGGTGCAACATTAGGGTTTAGGGTTTAGGGTTTAGGGTTTAGGGTTGAGGGCTCAAGGTGGTCAAAGTATGTTAGTTTGACGTGTCAGGGTTAGGGCCCCTTCGAAAACATCGCATCCTAAGCCCTGAGCCCGAACCCGAACCATAGTAAGCTTGAGGTTTTTGAGTTTGTTGTTGTTCGCCGGTTCTTTTGGGAGCATGGATTGTTGATGTCGGGGGAGGTTGCAGGGGGCTATTGGATCCGGGCCTAGGATCAAAGACTCACGGCTTAGGTTTTTTTTTTTTTTTTTTTTTTTTTTTCTGGGTTTAGGGTTCAGGGTGTATATATATATATATATATATCGAGTCTTGGGCTTCGGATTGGGACCACAGGTTCAGAACCTATAGTGTTGAGGGTACTAACCCTAAACCCTAAACCCTAAACCCTAAACCCTAAACCCCTAAACCCTAAACCCTAAACCCTAAACCCTAAACCCTTTTTGCTACTTTAAAGTCCTCCTGCGTGGAGTGGGTGTCGACTTCAGGGTTCAGGGTTAGGGCTGACGGTTTAGGGCACAGCGCAGCTGTGAACCCTGGTTGAGGGTTTAGGGTTTAGGGTTTAGGGTTTAGGGTTTAGGGTTTAGGGTTTAGTGTCAGAAATCCAACCCTATTTCAATTTATCAACTCGGGAGTTCAACCCCCTGGCATCTCAGGTGTCCATCACCTCTAAGCAGGTGCTGTTCCTCAATGAGCTTGAGGCAGGTAGGAAACCCTCCTAGAACCCTCTTTACCTACCTTTTGTGAGTTAAGCCTACTAGTTGAGGGCAGGCACTACTAAACTGTAGGTGAATAGAGTCCCAGGCTATCCTTCCAGGGAGGTTCCTTAGCGGCTCTAGTAACTTAATTCCTACAGGTCCCTGGAAGGTGTAGAAAAAGATATCGGCAGGGATTTTGCAGTCGCAGTGTTTCGAGTTTGCGCGTGCCCTTGTTTAAGGTTTGCTGGGATAGTACTTTATTTGCGAATGAAGAGATATGGCTTCGGGGGCGCGAAGGGCTTTTGGCAGGTCATTGCGGGATCTTGAACGTCTTGCCAGCCCAGTGGTACCCTTGTCCCTTTTTGGGTTCGAGGTTCCCTTGCAAGCAAACACTAAACCCTAAAACCTAAGCCCTAACCCCTAAACCCTAAACCCACCAACCCCCCAATAAGGGTACTCTCATTAAAAGATGGTTACTGGGCTACCCCGATGTGCGTTTGGCGTTCAATGTTTAAGCGGGGCAAAGAAACGAGTTCGAGTTACGGAGGGCACGGGCTCTGTGTCAGGTTGCTCGCCCTAAACCCCAAACCCCAAACCCTAAACCCTCAAACCCTATACCTCTCAAGCCGCCCAGCTACTCGCAGGCCTTCTCAAAGACTAGAGTAGTGGCAGCCCGAGCCCCTCCTGCTCATCCTCGTACATGTTGAGGGTGCTGATCTCCCTCAGAGAAAGCGCCCAAACCCCAAACCCCAAACCCCAAACCCCAAACCCCAAACCCCAAACCCCAAACCCCAAACCCCAAACCCCAAACCCCAAACCCTAAACCCTAAACCCTAAGTCCCCTGAAGCTCAAACTCTAACGTCCCCGCGCATCGCAGGAAACGCTTGAGCTGACCCAGCCCCCAGAGTTCCACCGCATGCAGGACGCACCCTTAAACCCCCGTACGCAATGCCTACCTGGGACTCTAGTTTAGGGTTTAGGGTTTAGGGTTTAGGGTTTAGGGTTTAGGGTTTAGAATTTAATAACCAACCTTAGTTAGTAGGCATAACCCATCAGAATCTGTAGGTAAAGAGGGTCTCAGGTATGCCTCAGCCCCTTTATACGGGGGTTTTCCGGGTTGAGGGCAAACCTTCTAAGCCCGAAACATGATGCCCCCTAAGCCCCAAATCTAAATTGCCTCGAAAGCCCCCGCCTCTTAAGACCCAGCGTTTTGACTAGGGCGCGTTAGGGGTCAACTTGGATTAAACCCGAAACCCTAAACCCTAAACCCAGTTCAGCACACTTGAGGGAAGCAAGTCCCCAGCGACCTCCTCAGCGCACCCTCCCAAAGCCCAGCGGGTCTTAGGAAATCCAGGGCTTGAGGTTCGGGACTGGGGTGAATTAAGGGCAAGTAACTGAAGGTTCATCCCCGAAACCGAAAGCCCTAAACCCTATGAACCCGTGATCATCATACTCCTAGAGTCCTAGGAGGTGACCCCTATTTTCCTAAACCCTAAACCCTAAACCCTAAACCCCAAACCCCAAGCCCCAAACCCTAAACCCTAAACCCTGAACCCTAAACCCTAAACCCTAAATGGGGGTGGCAAGGTAGAACCCCATGAGCCGACAGGGCCACGGAATGAAAGCCCTAAGCCCTACATCCGAGACCCCAAAACGCCAAATCACTCAGAATGCTGATTCCTAAGGCCAAAAGTCGTAAGCCCAAAGCCCAAAGCCCTAAAGGCTTGAACTGAATCCGAAACCCTAGATTCCGAGAACTTTAAAACAGTGAACCCTCAACCCTCCCGAAAGAACCCTCGTGTATTCAGAGATCTTTTTGGAATTTGCAGAGAGAGAGAGAGAGAGGTGCCCCATGAAAGAAAGAAAAGAAAGAGAGAGAGAGAGAGACAGAGAGAAAGACCGTCAAAAGCTCGCTACTATTTGCCTAAGAACCCGCCCCCCAAATATGCAAGGTAATAATCCTGTACTGCCCTTACACGGAAGACTCATGTTTTGGTGTTTCTTACTTCAAATAGGAGCTTGTGAGCTATTGGGCGAGACGACAGCTAATCTGATTAACGAAGATGGCAATGCCAATGGAAACTGCATCTGCGTGACAGAAGGAGTGGAAAAGGCAATGTTAATTCCCTTCTGCTCTAATACGCACGCCTACGCACGCCAAGGGAAAGCATGCACGTGTGGTGACCAGTTCAAAGACCTAGTCCGTCACCCTAAACCCTAAACCCTAAACCCTAAACCCTAAACCCTAAAGTTAGGATTTGATGTTTACGGCTTAGGGTTGCAAGGTGGAAGCCCTTGGGCCCTAGGGCCGCGGAATGAAAACCCTTACAGCCTTGCAAAAGACTTTCCTAGGACCCAGAGTAGGCCCTCATTCTGTTGCTTTAGGTTTCAGGTTACCTTATAAGCCCCTTTGAAACAAAAATGACACCCTCTGCCTAGGGTACTCTTGTGTCGAGTACCCTAAACCCGGAACCCTGAACCCTAAACCCCAAACCCTAAACCCTAAACCCTACTGTAGGTAAATAGAGTCCCAGGTAGTTTTTTGTGGCTCAGGATGTCCTCTTCCGTCGCCTTGCCCTGTGCATCACCTGCCCTCACTTCCAGGCAAGTCGTGGGTTCTCTCTCGCAGGCCCCAAACCCTAAACTCTAAGCAAACCCGAAACCCTAAACCCCAAACGCTAAACCCTAAACCCTAACTGCAGGGGTTCGGGATTTGAGGGGGATAGGTTTGTTCGCCTGGTTTAGGAGTTTAGGGGTGTTGGCTTGCGGTCTAGGTTAATTTGGGGTTTCGGGCTTAGTTGTATCAGATGCTTTGGTGTGGGAGGGCTTAGGATGTAGAGGCTTCGTCGTGAGTGACACTTGATGCAGGTGGCCGAGAGGACCTTGTTCTTCTGGAACACCGATGCCCGTCCGCAAAAGACAGGAGAGGGGTGTCAACCCAAAACCCTAAAGCCCCAAACCCTCAACCCTAAACCCTAAATCCCCCAAACCCTCAGCTTTTTTTGGGACCCTGCAAAACTCTGAAGTGGAGCATTACGGCTGCTATGGGGTTCACCCTTGTTGGGCTGTAGGGCGTTTTGTCACGCCGACTGGTCAAGGCTTGCTGTGCCAAAGTCCCCCCGCATGCATGCGACGGCACTGAGGATTACATTGTGAAGCTCATCAACGCGAACCGCCAGGCATCAAGCATCTCGTGAGCGACCAAGCCCCATTAAACCCCCCCCCCCCCCCCCCACCCCCCACCACCCACCACCCCCCCCCCCTGCCCCAAACCCAAACCCCTAATTACACTCCCCAAGCTCCGACGCCAAGAAATGTCTAACCCTTCTGCATACCCTATGGGAAGCTCTCTGGCGCACAGCAGCAAGTCAAGGTTGACAAGGTTGAGGGCTTAGGGAGCCCCCTGAACCCGTAACCAAAAAAGGTCCAAACGCCGAAGTCTTAGAGGTCGAACATGGCAGATCTTCAAACCCTAAAGCCTCAATCCCCAACAACCCTAAACCCTAAACCCTAAACCCTAAACCCTAAACCCTAAACCCTAAACCCTAAACCCTAAACCCTAAACCCTAAACCCTAAACCCTAAACCCAGTTCTGCGCAGTTGGAGAGCCCTAAATCCCAGATCCCTCTTCAACTTCTTCAGGCAAAGGATTTGTGGAGGGGGGTTTTTGATGGGTTTACTCCTGCAATCCAGGGGCCCCCAAGTTAAAGGCTGACGCTTTCAGTGTTCCGGGTTTTAGGCTCCAGGGTGCAATTTAGGGTTTAGGGTTTGGGGTTTGGGGTTTGGGGTTTAGGGTTTAGGGGTCAATAAGATGACCCAGTTTGTGTCCAGGATTCGCATCCTTAGCCCGAAGCCTGATACCCAAACCCTAAACGTTCGAGGTCATGGTCGAAGACTTCGACCCGGGAAGTCGGGGCATGCAGGGTGTGGGTTTTAGGGTCTATAGCCGAGCTCTCACGTAGCCGTGCTTTGCTCACAACAATTTCAACGATGATGGCTTTCGTGGAACGGCGCCTTCCTCCCCTGCAGCGGGTGTTCCTCAACCTCGATGGCAGGCCTTCTGCCCCGCAGAGCACTCTCCGTCGCAGCCGCAGTTTCTCCGGCTACACGTCCTTGGAGCTCAGCGAGGTCAATTTCGAGCTTGGCTCGAAACCCTGCATCGAGTCACTTGGGGAGCAGCAGGGGCCAGAAACTTAGCTGCTAAGTAAGCAGGTAGCCTTGAACATCCTTGAGCATTTTTGCGTACTACAACAACAGCGCCCTTAAAACGCTTTGGTAGACTCAAGCAGGAAATCTAAAAAGTAGCCCGTCAACATCAAGCAAATGTTACAACAACATCGACAAGAAGTTCCCCAAAAGGAAAGCACCGCAGAAGACCTGCCTTGGCCGGACACGGACGACGAGGAAACGGTGGCTTGGGTTGAGGCGCAATCCGCCGACACCGTGGCTCCGCCAGCCGAAGGTACCACGAGCAAATCTTGGCTCAATTAGTCGGAGTTCTTTTTTGCTGTTTTGTTAAAGCCACACTTGGGAATACGTTAAACTAATCACCCCTTCTATTTCTCATCTAGGTAGCCCAGTGGTACACTCTACTTTTTTTTTTTTTTTTTTTGGGGGGGGGGGGTGTTCGTTCCCTTCCAAGGTCACCAACCGCAAAAAGGGTGCTCTTATTGTATGTGGTTGCAGCACTGGGCTGCCAAGTCATCAATCCCTAAACCCTAAACGGCCCCAAACCCTAAACCCTCAACCCTCAACCCTCAACCCTAAACCCTAAACCCAGTAGTCGTAGGGGTTGCAGAGGCATCGACGGCCTGTGGCTCACACCACTGGCTCGGCCGGGCGACCGCAGCGACGAAATCCTGGATCCCTTCCTTGAGGGGTTTAGGGTTTAGGGTTCAGTGGGTTTAGGGTTTAGGGTTTAGGGTTTAGGGTTTAGGGTTTAGGGTTTAGGGTTTAGGGTTTAGGGGGTTTAGGGAGTTCAGGGTTTAGGGTTTAGGGTTCAGGGTTGAGGGTTTAGGGCGAGGGGGTAGGGGGAGTGCATGTCTACGTCCCCAAGTCAGGGCACCGAATGATGTTGATCCAGCTTGGAGGTTCATGGCACTTATTAACCAATTGCAACTGTACTCATAACCCACTTATACGCCCCTTAAGTCCCTTAAGTGCCCCAAATACGGAATAAGTATAGTTATAAGTACTGGTGTAGTTGGTTAATAAGTACCATGAACAGAGGATGTGCCAGACTACACGCCGCAGCGTGCCACCAGCTTCCAGCAGGGCTTTTGCTTCTCGGATCTTCTCGGCAAGGCCCTTGGGACATTTGTTATTTCCCGTTATTGGGTTTAAGAGGATCAGATTCAGGAATATTCTTCAGAGGGTTTTAAGGGCCATCCTAGGCTACCTGCCGAGTGGCTTCACCTGCTTGCCACACAAGGGCTATGCCAGTGTGAAGTGCGTCAGCACCAGCACCGCGCAAACGTTTCAGAATGCCCGGCGCAATCGGGACATGGTACGCTCGCATGTGCAGGGCTTGCAGATGAACGTGGAGAACGGGTGCGGTTGCCAGATGCACCCAGAGAAGATGGCGACGGTGCCACCACCGGTGTCCTCTGCCTTGATGGCAAGGGAGCAAACCGACCGCACGATATCCCAGCCAGCGCTCCGAAGCACGGGGGAGCAACTTAGGGATACTTGGGAATCATTTGTGTTTTCTGGGCACTATATTTCCTTCTAGATTTTGTGATTTTTGGGCACTTAATTCCTAAAGAAACAGCTAAAGTTATAGTTTTTGATCGCGTTCCAAGTTCAGTATAGGCAAGTGACGAAGGCCCAGCGTGCAGGCGCTGTGGCCTTGAAGAAGGCGAGAGCCATGATGCCCGCCGTGGATCTTCAGCCGCTAGGATGCTCAGTGGTTACCCTTTTTTTCCGTTCTTTTGGGGGGTTTAGGGTTTAGAGTTTCGGGTTTAGGGTTTAGGGTTTCGAGGGTTTAGGGCGTTTAGGGCGTTTAGGGTTTAGGGTTTGGCGTTTAGGGTGGGGTTTAGGTTCTCTTATAAACCACTTGAAGCAAAAATGGGCACCCTTTTTTAAATCCTGATATAATCCTTATTCCTTTTTTTTTTTTTTTTGGGGGGGGGGGGGGGGTTTAGGAGTTTAAACACTTGTAGCTAAAAAGGGAACCCTTTTTTCTTCCTGGGTTACTGGGCAATCTAGGCCGACGGTTCCAAACAGTCGCCCCCGACGCGGGCGGCGGGCCCCAAGGTCCTCGACACGGCCTGAGAACCGATCACGAGTTTAGGGTTTCGGGTTTAGGGTTTAGGGTTGATTACATAATAATAATCCCCAAAGCCCTATTCTAAGTTACTGAGGCCCCTATATTCGCAGAGCTCGCCGTAAACGGATCACGTAGCCACCCACGCGATATGCAGAGGTGGCATTCCCAATCAGTAGCCGACTAGTTGGAAGATCTTGGGTGCTGATATCCGGGTCTAGCGCAACGAGAGTTCAAAATCGGACGCTGAATAAAAGACCTGAGCTGCAGACTGAACTAATCGGACGGGCTCTGTTTCTAGTGCCCGGAGTCAGCAGAAGCCCAACGGAATTCAATCAACATGCCCATTCATGGCGGACATGTTGTTGCATGCAATAGCTAAGCGCAACAACCTTTCAGATCGCATTGGTGACAACAGGTGATCTCAGAAAGGCACATGAAACTCCAACGAAGTTGGGGGCAATTCGCACTCGACGGCACACGGTGCAGTGTAGGATGCCGTCTGATGAAGGGGGCTTTGACAAGTCGTCAAGAACAGGGATTGGCCGCAGGCTTAGGGTTTTTGGGCTTAGGCTGGTGCATGCTCACTACTTGTGATTCATGCTCTGGTGCCGAGTTTTTGGCGACGTGTGACAAGTCTACAGGCCACAGGCCACCTTCTGGCTATGCAAAGTGCCACAGCCACAGCCGATCAACTTTGACAAGATCCAGGTCCTCGTTCATGTTGCATCCAAACTTCACAGACCGCAAACCTTCAGTCTTAACCCCTACACCGGATACCTCATGCCCTCCCTTCGGAGGAGTCCTTGGAGCTAGGATGCCCAGTACGACCCTTCTTCCCTTTTTTATAGGCTTAGATCCCATATAAACCGTTTAAGCCACAAAAGGTGCCTGTTTTCGTCGTCACTACTGGGCAACCTAGTGGATGTAACTTCGGCATAGGGATTGGCATGCCCGTTAAGAACGACTATCCTGGAGTCAGGCCTGTCCTGGGGTTGATTTCGACATAGTATTGAATATCTATAGGTGCATGCGAACTTGGTTTATAGGGTTTAGGGTTTAGGGTTTAGGGTCTAGGGTTTAGGGTTTAGGGTTTAGGGTTTTGGCTACCCAAATCCACCCAGTATATCACCTGCGAGAGCCTCGCAGCTTCTTCTACCGCTTTCGCCCCGTGACGTAGGGTTTAGGGTTTAGGGTTTAGGGTTTAGGGTTTAGGGTGTAGGGTGTAGGGTTTAGGGTGTAGGGTGTAGGGTTTAGGGTTTAGGGTTTAGGGTTTAGGCTTCTCATCCAAGTGGGCGGGGATCCGTCCGCTTTGTATGGCCAAAGTTAGGGTTTATGCTACGACTTTTTGCTCAAGAACCCGAAAAAGCAAGATAATATTCCCTATATTGCCCTTATAAGAAAGAATACATTTTCAGTTTTTCTCCACCCTCCGGTGTTAGATTTTAAACTCAACTCTTCTCCTCGCCCGGAACTCTTCTCCTCGCCCGGTCTACTCCTCGCTCATCCCTGGAGTGCCCAACCCCAAAGCATCCCTGGAGTACCCAAGTCTAGAGTGTCCCCGGAGTGCCCAGCCCCAGAGTCTCCCTGGAGTGCCCAACCCGAGAGTGTCCCCGGAGTGCCCAGCCCCAGAGTGTACATGGAGTGCCCAACGCCAGAGTATCTCTACCAAGAGAGGGTGGGGATGTTCGAAGTAAAATAATTTATATATATATATGTATATATGTATATATGTATATATATATATATTTATTATTACTTTTTTTTTTGGGGGGGGGGGGGGGGGGGGGGGGGGGGGGGGGGGTGGGGGGGGGAGGTGGGGTTACAAGCAACTGGTAGGTCATTACCCTAAGCCCTACGCCCTAAACCCTAAACCCTACACCTTGTTTGGGTGAAGGGTTTCTGGGATGTTGGGGCCCTTGGTCCGATGCATAAGGGTTTTGGTATGGCTTTGGCGATGCAAGGTGCTTTGCCCTCCTCCCCTGGCTGTTCAAAGGGTTTAGGGTTCAGGGTTTAAGGGTTAAGGGTTTAGGGTTTAGGGTTTAGGGTTTAGGGTTTAGGGTTTAGGGTTTAGGGTTTAGGGTTTAGGCTAATAGGGTTTAGGGTTTGGGGTTCAAGGTTGCCATCTTTCGAAGACAGGTCCCAGATTGTATCGTTATTTCGTGATGACTGCACCCAGGATTTCAGGCAAACTCCTTCTGATTGGCAAGAGGGTCAAGGTACCGGTCTTGAGGCCCTGAAACGAACATCTCAGGGGTATAAGGAGGGACCCCTACAAAAGACCCTTAATCTTATTCCCCCATATAACCCCTATATGTACCTTATATAGTCCTTAAAAAACCTGAGTAGCCCCTAATTAACCCCCAGATCCTAAACCCTGAACCCTGAACCCTGAACCCTGAACCCTGAACCCTAAACCCTAAACCCTAAGGTGTCTTATAAGGGTCCCTCCTTGAGTCCCTTGAAAACATGCACATATAGCGCACCTGCGAAACGTGGAAAAGTGAAGCATGCCGCCGGGCCCACCACAGATTTCAGGGTTTAGGGTTTAGGGTTTAGGGTTTAGGGTTTAGGGTTTAGGGTTTAGGGTTTGAGGTTCAGGGTTTAGGGTTTAGGGTTCAAGGTTCAGGGTTTAGGGGTTAGGGTTTAGGTTCCTTACCCTTAGTGTATAGGGATCCGAACTCTAAACCCGAAACCCTAACCCTAAATACAAAGGGACCCAAATTAAAGGCCTTTTACTCTGAACCCTTCATCTAAGCAACCCAACGGCCCCCAACACCAGCCCTGACTCTGACCTCATTACGGGATTGCGATTTAGGGTTTAGGGTTAGGGTTTAGGGTTTAGGGTTAGGGTTTAGGGTTTAGGGTTTAGGGTTTAGGGTTAGGGTTTAGGCATATAGCGCTTCCTGAGGGGTGTTTCTATTGGCCAGGGAGTAGTTGGGGTTGTGGAGTATACTAGGTAGGACATTGGGATCTTCTTCATATACAACCCTAAACCCTAAACCCTAAACCCTAAACCCTGAACCCTAAACCCTAAACCCTAAACCCATCTTGGGTTTGAGTTAATTCTGATTCCTTCATTCTCTACGAAGCACTGATAAAGAAGCAGAGGGCTTCACGGGCCTTTTTTAGAATGACCCTAAACCCTAAACCCTAAACCCCAAGCCCCAAACCCTAAACCCTAGCAGGAGCTGTTTCCCATCATCATCGGCGCCCTGTACAAGAACTCGAAGCAGCATTGGAACAGCGCGGCGCGCAGCCCAGGATTTCAGAAGCTCTGTCTCAGCGTGGAGGCCATACTTGGAAGTTCATGGTACTTATTAACCAATCATAACTGTACTTGTAACCATATTAGGGCACTTAAGGGGCTTCTAAGTGATTCTCCTACAGGTTAAGAGTAGTTACCCCTGAATTAGTAGGTATAGCCCATAAAGCTGTAGGTCAAGAGAGTCCCAGGTAAAGCATAAACCCTAAACTCAACTCGACACCAAGTTCCGTAAAGCCATACGTGCGGTGCTGGAGTAATTAGCTTCCTATATAGCTTTTATCGTTGTATGCCCCTGATCCCTAAACCCTAAACCCTAAACCCCTTATGCAGCCCAAGAGGCATGCCCAGCTCAAACAGAGCCACATGTCGAATTACTGTTCGGCCTTGAGCCCGATACCAGCTCTACCCGAAACCGGCCCTGGACCCAGAGACTCCAAAACCCCTTAGTTCAGGAATATCCCTTAAATTATCATAGGAACCCTAATATGATTTACGGTTTATTCCTTAATTAGGGGGTTTTGGAGTTTCTGGGGAGGCACCCCCTCACCCAAAAAGCGAGAAGACAAGACAATACAACCACAGTCATTGTGAGTTAATCTCGAAACCAAGGCCTCGACAAGACCTTTAAAATCCCAATTTTAGAATCCCTTAGAATCTGAAGACTCCTGCTGGAAGTCCCAAGCTCGTGAAAAAAGCGGCGCGCTTAATCTAAACCTCCTAAGACTTCAGAAGCCCGTAAACTCCCGAACTCATCTCCAAATGCTGCAGTCGGCAGGTTAAAGACAAGGGCTTAGAATAGGGTAACGCTGTGCTCCTAAGGCATCGCATTTCAGATGCCGGGGCTTGCGCCACGGCGCCGTAGCGCCTTATCCCTTGTCCATAAATGCCTTAAACCCTAAACCCTAAACCCTAAAGCCCTTGTAGCCTACAGCCTCATCCGTCCCTCCGATAGGTTGCCCCGATGCAGCTGCCCCACAAGCAAGGGCGCACTGTAGACCCTTACCTGCCTAGGTTCACGGCTTGACATTCAACGTACTCAAGCTGCTAATGGAGGCTGTGGTCCCTGGTTGGGGGTTGAGCTTCAAGGTTACCTTTCCTAAACCCTAAACCCTAAACCCTAAACCCTAAACCCCCTCAATCCTAAATTTTTAAGCACGATAGAGCCTACTGAAGCCCCCTTAGAGGTTTGTGCCGGTGTCTATCGGATCGTTGGTGCATCTTTGGCAGCTTGCTGAGCTCAACTTGGCCCTGTGCTCCAGCACTGGACTCTCCTGTCAGACAGTCAGGGTACCTACTACTTGCTTAAGCACCACAAAAGAATTAAAAAAGTAATAATCCCTATGTTACCCTTATAAGGAATTATTTGTTTTTTGGGGGGTGTCCTTAAGCAAGCAGTAGGTACTAGGACTCAGAGTAGGAAATTCATTCCCTTTGTTCAGAAGGCTTAGGTTCCCTTAGAAGCCTCTTTAAACTAGAATGGGCACCCTTTTTCTGTTCCTAGGGTACGCTTGGGTCTAGGGTAATTTTGCCGGGTGTTGTCGACATGATATGAGCTTGCAGCAGATGAGTAGATTCGGTTTTGAACTTGTAGCAAACATTGCATGGGCCAGCATCTTTTGCAAAGTATAATTACAGATCGCCCGCGACTACAGCACAAAGAGCAACTGCACCAACCCACGGGAACGAACACTGGAGCACAGCACAGCGGGAACACTGGCGGGCCAAGCTGCCCGAAGCCCTAAACCCTAAACCCTAAACCCTAAACCCTAAACCCTAAGTTGCGCAACAGAGAACAAGAAGAGACCAAGAAGACTTCATCTCCAATTTTTCCTAGGACCCGGAGTAGGCCCTTATTCCCATTTTTAGGGTTGGGGTTCCCTAAAAAGCCCGCTTAAAACCAAAAAGGGCACCCCTTGTATTCCTACTAGTAGGTTACTCCTGGGTCTAGTTTCGAATGTAACCAAACAGCCTTAAGCCCTACACACCCCAACTGCGGCCATATAATATGAAGGCCCTGAATCCTGAGCCCTAAACCCTACACCCCAAACCCTAAACCCCCAACCCCCAAACCCCAAACTCCAAACCCCAAACCCCAAACCCCAAACCCCAAACCCCAAACCCCAAACCCCAAACTCCAAACCCCAAACCCCAAACCCCAAACCCCAAACCCCAAACCCTAAACCCTAAACCCTAAACCCTAAACCCTACCAATCTAACCCACCACAGCCCCTAAGGCCCCAGAAGCCAAAGCCTAACGAAGCTGGCCGTTTCGGGGGCCCGAAGCCCAAATACCCTATGCTCTCCGCGAGATCCCTATCACAAATCCAAGTTGAGGGTTTGCGAGTAGGGTTTAGGGTTCAGGGTTTAGGGTGTAGGGTTTAGGGTTTAGGGTTTGGGGCATTTTTGTGGGGTTTTTTAGCCCCCGGAAACCCCTCACAGGCCGACCCTCAGCTCTTCGACGAGTGTTCGGCCAAGCATCGGGCCGATGAGGAGGAGGAAGGCCGACGTGAGCAGGAGCCAACCTGGATGTAGGTTAGGGTTTTGGGTTTAGGGTTTAGGGTTTAGGGTCGAGGATGTAGGTCTTGGTTTAGGGTTTCTAGGGTTTCTAGGGTTTCTAGGGCTTCTAGGGCTTCTAGGGCTTCTAGGGCTTCTAGGGCTTCTAGGGCTTCTAGGGCTTCTAGGGTTTCTAGGGTTTCTAGGGTTTCTAGGGTTTCCAGGGATTCTAGGGTTTCTAGGGTTTCCAGGCTAGGGTTTCTAGGGTGCTTTCAGACTTAAGGTTTAAGGTTTTGGGGTTTCAGGGCTTGAGGTTTTAGGGTCTCAGGGTTTAAGGTTTTGGGCTTTAGGGGAAATAACGTTTTTGGGGTTTACGGATAAGTAGGATGCCCAGCAGTTAGCATCCTCGTTCCCTTTTCTAGGGGTCAGGCACCCTGAACAACAAAGCGTTACGCAAGAGATAGCCTTTGTTTGATTCTTAGGTGGCTGGGGAATGTCACCCTCAACCCTCGACCGAGGAGTTTATAAACCCTAAACCCTAAACCCTAAACCCTAGAGGTGAGTTGAGATAAGGTTCATTCGAAAAGTCTGAGTGTTTTGTCGATGTCCTCTTGGAGATCATAATTAAGCTCCCTTTTGGGGTTCCCTAAACGATAGTGGGCGCCTCATTATTACTTGAGGACCCAAAAGGGACCCGATTTTGAGAGAAGTGACCATATGATCCACGAGACCTCGCCTCCGCAGCAGTGCAAGAATGAAACCTTCCCTCCTAAACCCTGAACCCTAAATCCTGAACCCTGAACCCTAACCCTGAACCCTAAACCATGGGCTCTTCAACTGCGAGCCGATGGGAGCTTCTGTTTGCGAGCGTTGCTTTGTTTACGTCTCTATTTGTTGCTTCTTTTTCAAATTCGGGGGTTTAGGGTTTAAGGGTAGGGTTGAGGGTTTAGAGAGCGCGTTCTTCTTTGTGTTTGGGTTACCCGAAGCCGTATAAAGAGAGCATACTCACTTGCAGCAGAACATTTTGGGCTTTGGGGGTGTCAACCCTAAACCCTAAACCCTAAACCCTAAACCCTAAACCCTAAACCCTAAACCCTAAACCCTAAACCCTAAACCCTAAACCCTAAACCCTAAACCCTAAACCCTAAACCCTAAACCCTAAACCCTAAACCCTAAGCAGAAGGAACCTCATGCTCCCTAGGAGGTGGATCCTCTGCAAGTTTAGGGTTGAGGGTTGGTTTAGGGTTTAGGGTTTAGGGTTTAGGGTTTAGGGTTTAGGGTTCAGGGTTCAGGGTTCAGGGTTTAGGGTTTTAGGCTGAGGGGCTTTATAGTACCCCCTATCTAGGATGCCCAGTAGTGCCCTTATTCCCTTTTATTGGGTTCTTGTCCCATAGAAACCCCTGTAAACCAACAAGGGTGCCCTTTTTTCTCCTAGGTTACTGGGGAATCCAGCTATTATAGTCCCCATTCAAGGACTTGGTAGTATAAGGGGGAGCACCCGAAGTTTGAGGTTTTGGGTGGGTCTTAGAGCTGCTACGCCGCAGCACCAGGCCCATAGTCTCGTTTAGGGTTTAGGGTTTTTGGGTTTAGGGTTTAGGGTTTAGGGTTTAGGGTGTAGGGTTTAGGGTTTAGGGTTTAGGGTTTAGGGTTTAGGGTGTAGGGTTTAGGGTTTAGGGTTTAGGGCCCCCCACCGTCTCCAGGAGCGAACGCGAAAGTGGCAGGTTCTCCAGGAGTCGTGGATGTTCTTGCCTAGGGTTTAGGGTTTAGGGTTTAGGGCCTAGGTAAGCCTTTGGGAGCGGGACATCTTGCATTTTCCCTTTCTGCTTTTGAGAGGATCATATTCAGGAATATTTTCAACACGGGTTTAAGGGCCCTTTTTGGTTTTGAGAGGATCATATTCAGGAATCTTGTTTCGCAGGGGTTTAAGGGCCATCCTAGTTACTGAGGGTGCAGGGTGTCGGGTTGAGGGTGCGCTCGGTTTAGGGTTTATGGGGACGCTATTTACCTACAGTTCAGTTTAGTCGCAATGGAAAGGTGTGCTCCATAAAATCCCCAAACCCTAAACCCTAAACCCCGAAAATCTGTAGGTGTGAATGGAGTCCCAGGTATGGCATGTCAAGACTTCTTGGACCTAACCCAGAAACCCAGAGGCTTCTAAACCTCTAAACTCTCCCCTAAACCCCTAAACCCTACACCCCAAACCCTGTCAGTGAATGTGCGCCGAGGAGATGCACGATGCGAAGGTGAAGTGAATATGTCCTGGCGACAGTACCATAGAGTTTACTAGACCGTTCTTGCCTATGGCGTTTGTACATTTTTTCTTGGGTCAGGTGTTTTAGAGACCAGAAGAAGTCTATTAACCCTAAACCCTAAACCCTAAACCCTAAACCCTAAACCCTAAGTACGGCCTAGGGTTTAGGGCTCAAGAGGGGTCGGAGGTTAAAGGTGTTGGTCTCAGCAACAGCCTTTTCAAGAACACTGCTACTACGACATACTTACCATATGACATAATTCATGTGTAGCATCCCTAAACCCTAAACCCTAAACCCTAAACCCTAAACCCTAAACCCTAAACCCTAAACCCTAAACCCTAAACCCTAAACCCTAAACCCTAAACCCTAAACCCTAAACCCTAACTTGGTGGAGAATCCTCTGAAGAGACTCGAAGAAAACACCTTCTAAAAACAGGGTTTATGGGGTTTAGGGTTTAGGGTTTAGGGGTTAGGGTTTAGGGTTTAGGCGCGACGAACTAGTCCCACTGTGCGTTTAGGTCTTGGGGATCTCAGATGTCTGCCGGGGACACTGTTTCACGCTGCGCGAAGCAGTTTTCTGCACGATTCCCTGCCCATCGACCAGTCAGCTTGGTCATAGTGGGGTAGCATTTTACTTGTGTAAGGGTACTCAAACTCGAAAAGGAATATAAATCTACATTTTTCATTCTATCCCAACCATGAACTAGTCAGGGGTGCCAGGAAGATCTGGGCAACAGACAACCAGCGAGCGGCTTTGCACGTTGCATTCGGGCAGAAGAACCGAGTGGCACACTTGATACTTAGATAGGATTGAATGTTTCATAACACACACACACACACATATGTATGTACATATGTACGTATATATGTATATATATATATATATATATGTGTATATGTATATATGTATGTATATTTGTTTGTGTATTATATATATATATACATTCGACACGAAATATGCATATGATACTACGATGTGCCGAAGCAAAATGGAACATGTGGCTTGTTCAGGAGCCACGAGTTTGCCTGAAAAATCGCCGCCTTTTGCGCAGCTGCCAAAACCTCCGTTCTCGCGGCTATGATCCGCACACATCGAATTATTTTTCTATTTTGCTATACATTGTTGATACTCATTAGACTGATTGTGTTGTATTGTGTTTTCAGACTGTATCAATTTCACTTTGTATGTATTATTCTACACATGTAAATATACTATACTCCATTCTTATATGTCTTTTGTCTTATACCGCAAGCCCTAGAAACCTCGAACCACACCCACGCATTCACAGACGAGAGGTTTTGCCCGCTCCCCTCGAGACTTTGGGCGCTTGTGTTCGGGCACCTGGTGATGCAGCATCCGAGCCCCCTCAAGCCTAAAACTCCTCTTGACGGGATTTAGGGGCTCACGGGGTGTATGCATGGGGCAGTTGGGCATCACAGCCCCGACGAAACCCCAAAGAGCAGATCGCCTGGCTGCGGTGTTGGCCTTCGCAGCTGGAAGTTTTCTATTTACCAACACAGCACGCCCTAAACCCTAGACCCTAAACCCTTTGTATCGATCCTATTCCTGGACTGGCTGGCGGTCAAGAAAAGAAGACTGGGAGTCGGAGTAGGCGCTCAGTCCCCTTTTTTTTCGGTTTAGGTTCCCTTAGAGTCCCCTTTAAACCAAAAAGGGCACCCTTTGTTATTGTTATTTCCGAGTTACTCCTATGTCTCTCTGTTTCATTTTAGAGTTTAGGGTTTAGGGCTCGGGTTTCCGAAACGCAAGCTCACAAGGTCCATCCACCACATCAAGGGAAGTACCAGAATTGCACGGACAGATTATGGTGGTTTCCGAAATTTGGGGTACCTTATTGGGGTCCTTATTATAAGGGAATCCTACTGTTTGGGGTGCTTCGGGGTCCCTTTTTTCGTAAACCCCCTGGAAGTCGCCTGAGGGAGACGAACCTAAGCCAACAAACCGAGACACCACGAACCCGAGAGCCCAACTTGAAGTTTTCTTGGTTCATGAGGGTTGAAGGTTAGGTTTTTAGGCTTGACTGCTTACAACCGGAGTGTCGGTATATCCTTGATGAGGCAGACCCTAAACCCTAAACCCAGACCATACACTCTTGGAGCTTTGTTAGGGTTTTGAACCCCCAAATCGGAAGCCCCCGAAACCCGAAACCTTGCCACATGCCGAACACTGAAGCAAAAGGCAGCAACCCTCACCCAAAACCAAACACCCTAATCACCCAAGCTCCGAAGTCCCCCCACCCGAACAACCAAGAGAAAAACTAAACCATAAACACCTTTAAGCCCTAAGCGCTAATCCCTAAGCCCAAACTTAATCAACTCCTAAACCCGAAACCCCGAACCCCTATTCAACCCGGTTTAGGGTTTAGGGTTTAGGGTTTAGGGTTTAGGGTTTAGGGTTTAGGGTTTAGGGAACCCTAAACCCGAAACCCTCAAAGCCCTCAAAGCCCTAAACCCAACCCTGCCCTTCTGCGCGGAGCGGCTCGGGAGACTTTCCCGGTGTAGGGCTTGCCGGGGAGCCATGGCCGACGCCTGAGGGGTTTAGGGTTTAGGGTTTAGGGTTTAGGGTTTAGGGCTTGTAGGTTGGGATGTTCCCCCTGATACTAACAGTCCCCTATAGGGATGATAAGAGTGGGTACTAGAATCCCTTTGGACTGTTAGTGTAAGGGGGGCACATCCCAGTTTATAGGGTTTGTAGGGTTTAGAATTTAGGGCTCTTGTTTTTGGGTTTAAGGCTTTTGTTTCGGGGGGGGGGGGTTAGCGTTGTTTTAGGGTTCAGGTTTTAGGGCTCGGTTTTTTGATGGGGTTTAAGGTTTTTTGTGGGAAGGTTTATGACTGAGGGCTTAAGGTTTGTTTAGGTTTTGAGGCAGTCTTCTTCCTCTACCTAGAGGGACCTAGAGCAAACCCAAACCCTAACCCCGAAAGCCTAAGCCAGCACGCGAAGGATGGCCTGTGATGATCTGCTTACGGGGCTGACTTGGGTTTAGGGTTTAGGGTTTAGGGTTTAGGGTTTAGGGTTTAGGGTTTAGGGTCTAGGGTTTAGGGTTTAGGGTTTAGGGTTTAGGGTTGGGGGTTGAGGGTTGAGGATTGAGGACTTGAAGTTCAGGGTTAACCTGGGCTGCGTGGGGATTCCAATTGCTCCGAGGGCGCGCTGGCGGCCTTGCAGACCCCAAACCCTAAACCCTAAACCCTAAACCCTAAACCCTAAACCCTAAACCCGGAACCCTAAACCCTAAACCCCAAACCTCTTTCAGTCGGAGGAAGGGCACAAGCATTTGTGCGAGCGCAAAGAACGGCCTGCGGGTGGTTCAACAAGCAAGCGTCCTTGGACTGGGAACTCTCTGACGGGTTTAGGGTTTAGGGTTTAGGGTTTAGGGCTTAGGCCACCAGCAAAGGCTAGGAAGCAGCGACCTTCCCAGGCAGCTCTGTGGGCCGATGAGCAAGCATAAGTTAAACGTCCAAGGACCGTATAAAAACCGCAGCAAGGGCACTAAATGCCCTAAATCCTAAGCCCGCAAGCCCTAAAACCAAAGCCTCTCAGCCCTAAACCCCCAACCCCCAACCTCCAAACCACAAACCCTAAACCCCATACCCTGAACCCTGAACCCTAAACCCTAAACCCTAAACCCCAAGACAGCTCGTGAGGTTGGCTCCCATCGGTGGGCCTTTTCATTCCTTGTAGTCGGGCGCTTGGCACCCACAAGGCCTCGAGGAATCAGGATTCCGTTTAGGGTTTAGGGTTTAGGGTTTAGGGTTTAGGGTTTAGGGGTTAGGGTTTAGGGTTTAGGGCTAGGGTTTCGGGTTTAGGGTTTAGGGATTTTCCTGCACGCCCCCTTTAGCTAAGACAGGCATGCTTGTGTATTTTCGCGTAGAGAGGCCTACAGCCTACTACAGGCAGTTGAACTAAGGGTTTCCGAAAATTAGGGTGTAGGGTTTAGGGTTTAGGGTTTAGGGAGGAGCCCCTAAAATAGACCTCCCAAATAGTAGGGTTCCCTTAAAATAAGGACCCCAATAAGGTGCCCCTATTTTCGGAAGTCCCCAACTAGGGCCGGCCTGAAGATTTAATTCTCAGCTCTCGTGCTGTTCTTCAGTCTACGCGTTTCGTTCGAAGGGGCCTATCTGTGTCACGTTTTACCCTGCCTTCGCCGGGGCAACTGTATCCGACACCAAGGCCCCCGGGGTTCAGTAAGGACCAGCACAAAAAACTAGGAATCCTAAACCCCGAAGCCCCAAGAGAGCTTGAGCACTTAGACTTTGTTACGCCTTTCTCGGGCACTGCGCACATGAGGTCTTCATTATTCAGATCCTGCGATCACAACTTGCCGCCTTCTCAGGAAGTCTTCATGCGGGTTCCGGGCTTGGGTTTTCATAGGGTTTAGGGCTTTTAGGGTTTAGGGTTTAGGGTTTAGGGTTTAGGGTTTAGGGTTTAGGGTTTTAGGGTTTAGGGTTTAGGGTTTAGGGTTTGGGGCTTTGGGACTATGGGGTTTGTAAGGGCTTAGGGTTGAAGGGCTTGGCTTCCAAGATCCGCTTTGTTCCAAGCGATAGCATAGCACCAGCGCTCGCACTGAAATTTCTTCGGTGGGAAGAGTTCAACCTTATGTATATATGTATAGAAAAATATGTGTGTATGTATATTATAATGTTCCAAGAAAAAACACCCTTTAGTTTCGGGGATTTGTTCAAGGGTGGGGTTGGAGGCACATTGAGGCAAAAGTGCAGGACAGGTACCGCAGGAACCAAGGTGGTTCAGAACTATCCCGAAGGGTCCATGTACCTCATTGTTATATACTTGGGCCCTAAAGTCCCTGTCTAGGAGCTACTTTAAGGCCCAAGTATATAATAATTAGGTACATGGACCCTTAGGGTATCTTCGGTCCTTGACCCCAGTGAGGGGCTGGATGTTCTGTTATTAAGCTCATTTAAGCAAACCAGGGTTTAGGGTTTCTAGCGTTTTAGGGTTTAGGGTTAGGTTCTCTTTTTAAGCT